GAAAATTTCTGTATAATAACGGCAGCGTGAAAAACTAATTTTTATAATAATCGCTGCTCGTTGTTATGCAGATGATGCCCACCAGTGAGCTCTGACAAAATTTTTAATTAGGAAGGTATTGGCACGATACATTAAATAAATAAATTAAATAATGTTTTAATTTAGCTCCAGAAAAGACATTAGAATAACAATTACTGCTTTCTCCCTGCTCGCTTAAAATTGAGAGCATAAAAATCGAAAAATATAATTTACTTGCTTGTGCGAATGAAAACAGTAAGCAAGAATGTGTGTATGTGTGCGTACTTGGGCTAGAAGTCTTTCGGTCGGAAATCAATTTTGATCTATGAAACGAATTTGAATAATGTTTTGTTCAATTTCGTTGGAATATACATAAATATCTAATAAAATATTATTTAAAAAGTTGATACCTTCCACCTCACACATACCTTGCGCAGCCCGATTCCCATGGCTGCCAGACCGATAAGCGCTCCTTTCCTTCGGTTTGCGTCCCGTGATGTGCAATAATCCGTGGCCAGCACCTCGATCAGCTTGCGGATTTGGGCCGAGTTGTTTTTGTTGTTGAATTCCGTGACCATTCTAGCGAAGATTGCATTTCCCAATTGCGATGACGAATTTCGGCGCTGGCTGTTTCATGGAATACTCACTTCTCGATCTCCTGCGAGGCCAGCTTACGTTTTTCGTACATCTTGTCGCCCAGCGCCTTGGCGCAGGACTCACTTAGCGGAGCGTATGGCGGTTCCATTCTGCAATCCGTAATCTTATCAAAAAAACAATATTTGTAGGCGGGTTTATGGATTGCACTGCATATTTTCAATAACAGCTGTTTACCGGGGATGCCAACTTGTGTTCTAAAATGCTTTAAGTTTTTCTTGGGCGCCAAGATTCCGCCGTAGCATTTAAATTATTATATTTTTCCGCAAATAAATTGTGTAATTGTAATAAATACACATTTCAACGACTTTTAAACTCATTTAATGCAATTCGGTCTTTGTCTTTTAAATAAAAAGAATGTTTTTAATTTTCAAGTAGCTAATATAGCTAAACAAAATTTGTTGCTAACTTAAATATAATGTAATTATGTATTAATTATTTACATTCTTGTCTTTTGATTACAACCAAATAAATAATATCACTCTTAAAAACTTAAGCAGAACTTAAGTAACTGCATAATTTTCCTATTGGCTTTAGTCGACCTCCTCGACAGTGGGTCCAGAGTAGCCGCCAAATCCTCCAGCCTGTTGGCCGCAGTTGGCTCCCGGACTACCAGCTGCTCCTGCGCCCGCTGCCTGCTGATGCATCTTGGTCATGATGGGGGAGCAGTGGCGTGTGAGCTCCTCCATCTTGTGGTCGAATTCCTCCTTATCGGCAGTGGTGTTGCTGTCCAGCCACCGGATAGTGTCGTTGCACTTGTCCAGGACCGAGTTCTTGTCGGCCTCGTCCAGTTTGCCAGCGGGTGCCTGCTCCACGGACTGCTTCACATTGAAGACGTAGCTCTCCAGGGCATTTCGAGAGGTAATGCGCTGGCGCTGCTTCTCGTCCTCGTCGGCGTACTTCTCAGCCTCGTTCACCATGCGATCAATCTCGGCCTGCGAGAGGCGTCCCTTGTCGTTCTTAATCGTGATGTTCTTGGCCTTGCCCGTGCTCATCTCCTTGGCGCTGACGTTCAGGATTCCATTGGCGTCCAAATCGAAGGTAACTTCTATTTGGGGCACACCCCTTGGTGCAGGTGGAATGCCGGACAGATCGAAGGTGCCCAATGCATTGTTGTCCTTCGTCATCGCACGTTCGCCCTCATACACCTGGATGGAGACGCCGGGCTGATTGTCCGAGTACGTGGAGAACGTCTTGGTCTGCTTGCACGGAATGCGGCAGTTGCGCTCGATCAGCTTGGTCATCACGCCGCCAGCGGTCTCAATTCCCAATGAGAGTGGGGCCACGTCCACCAACAGCACATCCTGGATCTTGCCGCTCTGATCTCCGCTGAGGATAGCGGCCTGCACAGCGGCTCCGTATGCCACTGCCTCGTCTGGGTTGATGGATAGGTTGAGGTTCTTGCCGTGGAAGAACTGCTGCAGCAGGCTCTGCACCTTGGGAATGCGGGTTGATCCACCGACTAGCACGATGTCATGGATCTGACCCTTGTCCATCCTGGCATCGGTGAGGGCCTTCTCCACAGGCTGCAGAGTGTTGCGGAAGAGGTCCGCGCATAGCTCCTCGAACCTGGCGCGGCTCACTTTAGTGTAGAAGTCGTGGCCCTCAAACAATGCGTCGATTTCGATGGTGGCCTCCGTGCTGGAGGAGAGCGTGCGCTTGGCCCGTTCAGCCGCTGTTCTGAGGCGTCGTAGGGCGCGGGGGTTTGAGCGCAGATCCTTCTTGTACTTGCGCTTGAACTCCTCCGCCAGATGGGTGACTAGACGGTTGTCAAAGTCCTCGCCGCCCAAGTGCGTGTCTCCGGCGGTGGAGCGCACTTCGAACAGTGATCCCTCGTCGATGGTCAGGATGGAGACATCGAAGGTGCCGCCGCCCAAGTCGAAGATAAGCACATTGCGCTCACCCTTGAGGTTCTTGTCCAGTCCGTAGGCCAGTGCCGCCGCCGTCGGCTCGTTGATGATGCGGAGCACATTCAGGCCGGCGATGTGACCGGCGTCCTTCGTAGCCTGGCGCTGGGAGTCGTTGAAGTAGGCTGGAACTGTGATGACTGCATCTGTGATGCTCTCGCCCAGATACGCCTCCGCCGTCTCCTTCATCTTGGCCAGCACCATTGAGCTGATCTCCTCGGGGGCGAATCTCTTGGACTCGCCCTTATACTCCACCCCGATCTTGGGCTTACCGCCGTCGCTTACCACTTTGAAAGGCCAGTGCTTCATATCCTCTGCGATCTTGGGGTCGTCGTATTTACGGCCGATCAGCCGCTTGGCATCGAACACCGTATTCCTGGGGTTCATGGCCACCTGGTTCTTGGCCGGATCGCCGATGAGGCGTTCCGAATCTGTGAAAGCCACGTAGGACGGCGTGGTGCGGTTGCCCTGGTCGTTGGCGATAATCTCCACCTTGCCATGTTGGTAGACACCCACGCAGGAGTATGTGGTGCCCAGATCGATTCCAATAGCTGGCATTGTGTGTGAGTTCTTCTTCCTCGGTAACGGCTTTTTGGAAATATTCAGCTTTCTTTTCTGGTCTTTAATAATAACTTCTTGGTTGAGTTCAGTAGTTGTTATACTTGATTGCTAGTTTATTTTACTTGCACTTCACTGCAGTTTGTTTAGCTTGTTCAGCTGCGCTTATTTGGTTGCTTAACTTTCGCTGAGCGATGTGTTCACTTTGCTTCTTTGAATTGAAATGACGCTAAAAGAAACAAGCAGCGCTATTTATACACCCGGCGCTCCTTTCGAGAACATTCGAAGCGTGCTCTCTCGAAGCAACGAGAACAGTATGCTGTTTAGTATGTGCCAGAATGAGATAGCAATAATGTCTGGGAAGGTGAGGCGCAAAATTAAGAGAATACAGAGGAGAAATTTCCAACCCATGACCTACCACAACAACTAGATTCTCTTGCGGATTCTGGAATATTCGCACTATTTTGAAAATTTCTGTATAATAACGGCAGCGTGAAAAACTAATTTTAATAATAATCGCTGCTCGTTGTTATGCGGATGATGCCCACACCAGTGAGCTCTGACAAAATTTTTAATTAGGAAAGTATTGGCACGATACATTAAATAATTAAATTAAATAATGTTTTAAATTTCAATAAAACGCATTGCTGGACTCAGACTCTCAGATACTGAGCTCCAGAAAAGGCATTAGAATAACAATAACTGCTTTCTCCTCGCTCGCGTAAGACTCAACTTATCTTAATCGGATTTTGAAGTGGCATATCTATAAATGTTTCCGGCGAAATTCTCTATAAATCTGCATTTAAATTTAGAAATTCTTTTTTTTTTAATTTTATGTAATTTTTTAATGTTTGATGTAGAAATTTCAAAAAATTAAGAAATGTGCAAAGGCTGAAGATCTAATTTCCATAACTCAACTTATCTTAATTGGATTTTGAAGTGGCATACCTCAAAATGTTTCTGACGCAATTCTCTAAAAATCTAAATTTAAATTTAGAAATTCACCGATATTCATTTTTTTTGTAATTTTGTCTGATGGATGATGTCTTAGAAATTAAAAAAAAAATTAAGAAATGCCCCAAGGCTGAAGCTCTAAACTCCATAAGTCAACTTATTTTAATCGGATTTTGAAGTGGCATACCTCTAAATGCTTCAGCGCAATTCTCTAAACATCTGCATTTAAATTTAGAAATGCATTTTTTTTAAATATTTTTGTAACTTTTCTGATGTACAATGTTGTAGAAATTCAAAAAAATTAAAAAATGTACCAAGGCTGAAGTTCTAAACTCAACAACTCAACTTATCTTAATCAGATAATTAATTACAAATTTTTGAGTGATAATTATATATGAAATTATAATGAATTGACGACTGAGAATAAATAAATATACATAAAATATATCGAAACGCAAAAGTTAAAAAGCAATCAACTTTTTAAATAATATTTGATTATATATTTATGTATGTATGTATATTACAACGAAATTGAACAAAACATTAATAAAATTCGTTTCATAGATCAAAATTGATTTCGGACCGAAAATCGACTTCTAGCCCAAGTACGCACACATACACACATTCTTGCTTACTGTTTTCATTCGCACAAGCAAGTAAATTATATTTTTCGATTTTTATGCTCTCAATTTTAAGCGAGCAGGGAGAAAGCAGTAATTGTTATTCTAATGTCTTTTCTGGAGCTAAATTAAAACATTATTTAATTTATTTATTTAATGTATCGTGCCAATACCTTCCTAATTAAAAATTTTGTCAGAGCTCACTGGTGGGCATCATCTGCATAACAACGAGCAGCGATTATTATAAAAATTAGTTTTTCACGCTGCCGTTATTATACAGAAATTTTCAAAATAGTGCGAATATTCCAGAATCCGCAAGAGAATCTAGTTGTTGTGGTAGGTCATGGGTTGGAAATTTCTCCTCTGTATTCTCTTAATTTTGCGCCTCACCTTCCCAGACATTATTGCTATCTCATTCTGGCACATACTAAACAGCATACTGTTCTCGTTGCTTCGAGAGAGCACGCTTCGAATGTTCTCGAAAGGAGCGCCGGGTGTATAAATAGCGCTGCTTGTTTCTTTTAGCGTCATTTCAATTCAAAGAAGCAAAGTGAACACATCGCTGAGCGAAAGCTAAGCAACCAAATAAGCGCAGCTGATCAAGCTAAACAAACTGCAGTGAAGTGCAAGTAAAATAAACTAGCAATCAAGTATAACAACTACTGAACTCAACCAAGAAGTTATTATTAAAGACAAGAAAAGAAAGCTGAATATTTCCAAAAAGCCGTTACCGAGGAAGAAGAACTCACACACAATGCCAGCTATTGGAATCGATCTGGGCACCACATACTCCTGCGTGGGTGTCTACCAACATGGCAAGGTGGAGATTATCGCCAACGACCAGGGCAACCGCACCACGCCGTCCTACGTGGCTTTCACAGATTCGGAACGCCTCATCGGCGATCCGGCCAAGAACCAGGTGGCCATGAACCCCAGGAACACGGTGTTCGATGCCAAGCGGCTGATCGGCCGTAAATACGACGACCCCAAGATCGCAGAGGATATGAAGCACTGGCCTTTCAAAGTGGTAAGCGACGGCGGTAAGCCCAAGATCGGGGTGGAGTATAAGGGCGAGTCCAAGAGATTCGCCCCCGAGGAGATCAGCTCAATGGTGCTGGCCAAGATGAAGGAGACGGCGGAGGCGTATCTGGGCGAGAGCATCACAGATGCAGTCATCACAGTTCCAGCCTACTTCAACGACTCCCAGCGCCAGGCTACGAAGGACGCCGGTCACATCGCCGGCCTGAATGTGCTCCGCATCATCAACGAGCCGACGGCGGCGGCACTGGCCTACGGACTGGACAAGAACCTCAAGGGTGAGCGCAATGTGCTTATCTTCGACTTGGGCGGCGGCACCTTCGATGTCTCCATCCTGACCATCGACGAGGGATCACTGTTCGAAGTGCGCTCCACCGCCGGAGACACGCACTTGGGCGGCGAGGACTTTGACAACCGTCTAGTCACCCATCTGGCGGAGGAGTTCAAGCGCAAGTACAAGAAGGATCTGCGCTCAAACCCCCGCGCCCTACGACGCCTCAGAACAGCGGCTGAACGGGCCAAGCGCACGCTCTCCTCCAGCACGGAGGCCACCATCGAAATCGACGCATTGTTTGAGGGCCACGACTTCTACACTAAAGTGAGCCGCGCCAGGTTCGAGGAGCTATGCGCGGACCTCTTCCGCAACACTCTGCAGCCTGTGGAGAAGGCCCTCACCGATGCCAGGATGGACAAGGGTCAGATCCATGACATCGTGCTAGTCGGTGGATCAACCCGCATTCCCAAGGTGCAGAGCCTGCTGCAGCAGTTCTTCCACGGCAAGAACCTCAACCTATCCATCAACCCAGACGAGGCAGTGGCATACGGAGCCGCTGTGCAGGCCGCTATCCTCAGCGGAGATCAGAGCGGCAAGATCCAGGATGTGCTGTTGGTGGACGTGGCCCCACTCTCATTGGGAATTGAGACCGCTGGCGGCGTGATGACCAAGCTGATCGAGCGCAACTGCCGCATTCCGTGCAAGCAGACCAAGACGTTCTCCACGTACTCGGACAATCAGCCCGGCGTCTCCATCCAGGTGTATGAGGGCGAACGTGCGATGACGAAGGACAACAATGCATTGGGCACCTTCGATCTGTCCGGCATTCCACCTGCACCAAGGGGTGTGCCCCAAATAGAAGTTACCTTCGATTTGGACGCCAATGGAATCCTGAACGTCAGCGCCAAGGAGATGAGCACGGGCAAGGCCAAGAACATCACGATTAAGAACGACAAGGGACGCCTCTCGCAGGCCGAGATTGATCGCATGGTGAACGAGGCTGAGAAGTACGCCGACGAGGACGAGAAGCAGCGCCAGCGCATTACCTCTCGAAATGCCCTGGAGAGCTACGTCTTCAATGTGAAGCAGTCCGTGGAGCAGGCACCCGCTGGCAAACTGGACGAGGCCGACAAGAACTCGGTCCTGGACAAGTGCAACGACACTATCCGGTGGCTGGACAGCAACACCACTGCCGATAAGGAGGAATTCGACCACAAGATGGAGGAGCTCACACGCCACTGCTCCCCCATCATGACCAAGATGCATCAGCAGGCAGCGGGCGCAGGAGCAGCTGGTAGTCCGGGAGCCAACTGCGGCCAACAGGCTGGAGGATTTGGCGGCTACTCTGGACCCACTGTCGAGGAGGTCGACTAAAGCCAATAGGAAAATTATGCAGTTACTTAAGTTCTGCTTAAGTTTTTAAGAGTGATATTATTTATTTGGTTGTAATCAAAAGACAAGAATGTAAATAATTAATACATAATTACATTATATTTAAGTTAGCAACAAATTTTGTTTAGCTATATTAGCTACTTGAAAATTAAAAACATTCTTTTTATTTAAAAGATAAAAACCGAATTGCATTAAATGAGTTTAAAAGTCGTTGAAATGTGTATTTATTACAATTACACAATTTATTTGCGGAAAAATATAATTTAAATGCTACGGCGGAATCTTGGCGCCCAAGAAAAACTTAAAGCATTTTAGAACACAAGTTGGCATCCCCGGTAAACAGCTGTTATTGAAAATATGCAGTGCAATCCATAAACCCGCCTACAAATATTGTTTTTTTGATAAGATTACGGATTGCAGAATGGAACCGCCATACGCTCCGCTAAGTGAGTCCTGCGCCAAGGCGCTGGGCGACAAGATGTACGAAAAACGTAAGCTGGCCTCGCAGGAGATCGAGAAGTGAGTATTCCATGAAACAGCCAGCGCCGAAATTCGTCATCGCAATTGGGAAATGCAATCTTCACTAGAATGGTCACGGAATTCAACAACAAAAACAACTCGGCCCAGATCCGCAAGCTGATCGAGGTGCTGGCCACGGATTATGCCACATCACGGGACGCAAACCGAAGGAAAGGAGCGCTTATCGGTCTGGCAGCCATGGGAATCGGGCTGGGCAAGGTATGTGTGACCATTAGTCATCGGGATCATGTTCCCATTTGAAAACTTCTTTTACTTTTCTAGGACTCGGGCAAGTATGTGCAGGGCCTGGTGACGCCCATCATGACATGCCTGTCGGATCCGGACGTCCGTGTGCGTTACTTCGCCTGCGAATCCCTGTACAACGTGGTGAAGGTGGCCCGCTCCGCAATCATTCCCTTCTTCCCGGAGCTTTTCGCGGCACTACCGCGACTCGTCACTGATTCAGATCAGATGGTGAAGGACGGCAGCGAATTGCTAGATCGCCTGCTAAAGGTGGCTACATTCAGAATTTCATTGAACCTCAAAAGGATCAAAGTTATTTGGTGATTACCCTACTTTTAGGACATTGTCACGGAATCGCCGCAAACGTTCAATCTGCAGGCATTCATTCCTTTGCTGAGGGAGCACATCTATGTGAAGGATGCATTTGCCCGTCAGTATGTGATCTCATGGATATCGATCCTAAATGCCGTACCGGATATTAACATGATCAACTATTTGACTGAGATTTTGGACGGACTGTTTGTCATGCTCGAGGACAATACGCTCGAGATCCAGCGCATGTGCGAGACCACAATCAGCCAGTTCCTGAAGTCCATAAGAAACGATTCGTCATCCGTGCGGATGGAGGATACTATCAATACACTTATAACCCACGCACAATCGCCCAATGAGCTCATCAAGTCCATTGCGATCACCTGGATCCGGGAGTTTGTCCAAATATTTGGCCCCAACGTTCTGCCGTATGCTAGTGGCATATTTACGGCGATATTGCCGTGCCTTGAATACAATGTGGAGTCCAAACGGAGTAAGCTTAAAATTAACAATATAAATCATACCTTTAATGCATTCCATTCCATTCAGGCATTAAAGAGTGCGCAGTGTCTGTTAACAACTCGATGATGTTGCTGGTCTCGACCAAGGAGCTGAAAACGGAGACTGTGGCCAAGATTGATTTACGTTCAATTATGGACGTTCTTTCACAGTACCTCACACACAATTCCATGCACACAAAGATCGCAGTCCTAAAGTGGATCCACCATCTATTCACCAACTTTCCAAACGAAATGTCCGTGCATGCGAGTAACTTAAACACTAACCTCTTGTCCACACTGGCGGACAACTCGGACGAGGTAGTCCTCCAAAGCCTGTCCGTTTTGGCGGAAATTGTCAATTCTCAAGAGAGCAGGGGTGAGAAAATATTCCTGGCTCACATTTTTTTATCATACCACAAACTAATACTTTTTTTTTCAGAATTGAACGATTTTAACAAATCGCACTATCGCAAGTTTTTATTGAGCCTATTGAACCTTTTCAGCGAGGAGAAACTTATACTGGAGAACAGAGCCAGCCTTATTATAAGGTAATATTTCGAAGACTTATTTTTATTAAATATTCAGATATAACCATATTTTAAAAGAAAACTCTGTGTGTTGCTGAATGCCGAGTACATTTACCGCACTTTTGCCGAAATAATAGCGGAGGAGGTGCCCAACTTGAAGTTTGCATCCACGGTTGTGCGTCTGCTAAACATGATTCTACTAACCTCAACGGAGCTTTTCGAATTACGCACAAGCCTGCGCAATATATCCAACGAAAAGTCAGCAGATCTCTTTCAATGCCTGTACAAGAGCTGGGCCCACTGTCCAGTGTCCACACTTTCCTTGTGCCTGCTGACCCAGAGCTACCAGCATGTGTCCCGCTTGGTTACGCTGTTGTAAGTGCTTACTACGTATAGCTTATTTAATAGTTTATTGATATGTTATATTAAATAGTGCCGATGTTGAAATCACTTTGGAGCTGCTTACCGAATTGGACAAGCTGGTTCAGTTGATAGAGTCTCCCATATTTGCTCCATTGCGCCTTACGCTTGTTTCCAAAGCGAACAAATGCGCGGATGCTCAGTACTTGGCTCATGCCCTGTTCGGCATTCTCATGCTGCTGCCGCAGACAGAAGCTTTTGATACGCTTCGGAATCGCCTGCAGTGCGTACCCAACTACTGGGGTCACGATCCTGTGTAAGATATTTCCCTGACTGAAAACGCTCATTGCTAATTTTCTTGAATCCCCAGAGATGAGCGCAACTCACTGGAGTACAAAAGTGGCATAGATTTCGATGCGTTGGAACAACATTTCATTAAATTGCAAAAAGCACACCGTGAGCAGCGTATTGTACACCGGAAGCGGAGTGTAATAACTCCTGAAAGTAACTAACCTTCTCATGCATACCTTATTTATATAGCCTGTGATTCAATGTGGAGTCCCTTCATTTGCATATGTGTCTAATGTGTAATAAATTTGAATAATATACTTAAATATGACAGAAACCATAAACATGATTTCATGGATGAATACTAAACGCATTGAAATGCCTCACTGAGAATAATAAAGTTCTGACAATCTGATTCCCCTAAAAATACTTTTTTATTTAAATTTACGAATACCCGTTGGCAGCGTAGTGCAATGATGCTGATACATTTGCAGAAGGAAGATTGTGTCGTCTAGGGTCAGTTCAGCTTTTGACAAGGTCTTAATGCGATTTTTCACCTTATTAAGGATCTCGCACTCCGGTGGCGTGAAAGTCTCAACAATCTGAAACGGCAAGGAGTTGCTTAATGTTTATGTGTCATCTCCCAAATCCAAACCCGCACCTCTGCGATATATTCGTCAGTCTCTCCACGTTCCTTCATGGCCTCTACTATGCTGTCGAGCCTTTGTGATTTTTCAATTAGGCCCTTGTGCTCATTTTTTTCAAAGTTCGATCGCTCAATTGTGTTATAAAGCGACTTGTAGCTGGCATCAAGCAGCATTCTCACGGTCTGAAATTCACGAATTATATTAGAGATAGGAGATGGACCTTTATCGGATTGTACTCACATCCTTCTCCTTAACCTGAAAGAGGTAAAATGCTTTGGCGGGGCCATTACTGCCTCCGCCAGGCTTTTTAATAATCTTGACATGAATAAACTGTTCCTGGAACAAATTATATGCCAGCGACTTGGCCTCTTTTGACGGAATCATGGCCTCCTTTTGTAAGTCCTCCTGTTCAATGTATACCTTGCATCGAATCACTCGAAATATCCGGGCTGCCTTTGAGCCAAATCGTTCCGTGATGACACACTCCGCACAGGCAAAGGCAAGCGACTGGAAGGCATGTTCCATATCCACCACGTACACACCACCACCCATGTCGCCCACTCTTCGGAAGAATCCCAGTGAGTCCTCAGCTAAAAATGAGGAAATTTTAAAGATGTATTAATTCGAGTTTACCAGTTATACTCACTTAATAAGCTTATGTACTGGTCCAAGTACTTCATGAGATCCAGGTTATTAGATTTTCTTTCAATAGCCTGTTTAATTTCCACGAAAGTTATCTGATTGGAGAGTTTCTAGAAAAAATATTTATGTTAATATTATTTAAAAAACATAGAATGCTTATCTTGAAACACACCCTTTCCCACGGATCAGTTGTATTGTACATAATCTTCAATATGAATCTAAAGCACTCTGCAGCATTTTCACCCAGTTTTCGCTCAATTGCATCCACCATGATGGTGTCTCGAAAGTCTTGATGGAAACGATCGTAGTTCAGGTTCCACACCATGTGAGAATCCCTGGCATCCGCCAGAGTGGCTTCTCCCTTTTGTATCTTGGCCAACAACTGAAGATCAATATTGGGATGCCTAAAGAAATCGCACTCGTTGGTCTCGAATTTCGGCACGTTCTCATCCTGGTCGTCACCCACCATCAGTTCTGGTCTTTTGATGACGTAGTGATCGGTGATCATTTGGAGAAAGGTGTTGCGGTAGGACTCCGGACTTTCAGTCTTGTTTTCATTCTCGGCTAGGCATTTTACGAGAATTCCAGTGGCCGTATCCGATCCAGAGTTAATCAACTCCTCCGCAATGGAAGCACCCACATTTCCGTACTTGGTTTGCACCAGGTGAACATAGCTGTAAAAGTTACCGGTCATTTTAGAACAAAAACTTAGAACGGAATGTATATTATTTTACATACCGAGGGTACCTTAGGAGGCAGAGAACATCCTCGCGCCGGAGGGCGTACTCCGCCAGGAAGGAGTTTTGTTTGGAGGCAGCAAAGTCCACCAGTCTGAACTTGACCAGCACCGCCAGTGCGAATGCCACTTCCTTCCTCGAGAACTTGGTGGCACTGGTGATCTGTCCCAATGTCCTCGTGGTGGCCGAAAAGAGGCAGTCGGCCACCGCCTGCACCACCTTGCCGAAGCACTGCTCCAGGATGGCGGAGCACAGATGCGAGTAGTCGGCTGACATGGTGCCTAAAGATCTATTTTAATAACCCACTTTAATTGCTAATATTACTTATTACCTGCTGATAATGCGGATCAAGCGAATGAGCAACCAAAACAAAACAGAACCGCGTTGAAGTCAGCTGTTTTTAAATACTTATCGAATATACATATAAGCTTATCGATTTTCAAATTTGTATTTACAAATCTCTTTCTAAAGTTATAGAATAATAATTAAAACAAATATTTTGGGGGAATTTCACTTATAATTAATGGGAAATCATACATTTTTATAATTGAAAGTCGGGAAATCAGTGTGACCAAAAATTTCAAAGAATTCCCTGTTAAATCGCTGCGTGCACACTGTAAACAAAAACTATTAGTGTAGAAGTGTTCTCGTTTGCGTATTTGAATAATCTTAATCTTGGGGTCTTACCAATGGCCACATGTTGCTCCCAGTTGCATACGACTACGAAATTCTGGGGTGAAGCCCGCGGCCAAAATCAGCAATACGCGCGCCCCTTTATTATAAGTTCTATTCTGACCCTAATTTCCGTATCTTTCCACGTCGAGTACTAAGACCTTACAGGTTAGAAATTGCGTCAGATAAATGCGCAGATGTCTATAATCTATGATCTGTTTGGCATTCGCAGACTATTTTAATCTAGCTCTAATCATGTCAGACGTGGATTCGGATGGCGAGCAGCCAGACCGGGAAACGGGCACCAATGCACTGGATGAGTTCCGGGAGAACTGGCAGCGGGAGCTCCAGGAACACACCAACACTGGATCCAAGGGCCGTTCCGAAGCTGGAGATCGCCTTACTGCAGCCAATTCCAATCTCAGCGAGACCGATCTTCTGCAGGCCAAGGCGGAGAGTCTATATCGGACTGCTGTGCAGCTGGAGCAGCGTGGAAAGGTCTACGACGCACTGCCCTTTTACAGGAAGGCCACACAAATCGTTCCGGACATCGAGTTCAAGTTCTACGAGCAGCAGAAGCAACTGCTCAGCGGCGATGTCAGCAAGAAGTACCTCAATCTGGCTAACGATTTGGCCAATCAACTGGATCTGGGTCAGTCGGATTCTACGCAAAGTGGAGAGGAGGTTGTGGACAACCTGTATGATAAGTTCCAGCACGATTTGCGGCAGGAAAACATTTACAATGGCAAGATGATAGCGTCCAGCCGTGATGCCAATGTCCTGACCACCGGTCTGCACTTTGCCGACCTGCCGCCCGAGATTGTGATGCGCATCCTGCGCTGGGTAGTGTCCGCCCAACTGGACATGCGCTCGCTGGAACAGTGTGCTGCTGTCTGCAAAGGTTTCTATGTCTACGCGCGGGATGAGGAGCTCTGGAGGCTAGCATGTGTTAAGTAAGTCATTCTTTCAAATAACTCTTCATAATTTGTTGTAAGATTGTTAGCAATTTGTGATATTTTAATTTTTTTATAGAGTATGGGGCCACAACGTTGGAACCTTAGAGACCCAGGACTCAGATGTTAGCAACGTCTACTACTCCTGGCGCGACATGTTTATCCGCCGGGAACGAGTGCTTTTTAACGGATGCTACATCAGCAAGACTACGTACCTGAGAATGGGCGAAAATAGCTTCCAGGATCAATTCTACCGACCTGTGCAGCTGGTGGAGTATTATCGCTACATTCGATTTATGCCCGATGGAAAAGTGTTGATGATGACGACTGCCGATGAGCCGGCGCAGGGTGTACCCAAACTGAAGCACGTGCACAACGTACGGTCGGAAACGCTTCGGGGTCGCTATCGGCTCTTCGGGAGCACAGTCACTCTGGTGCTGCAAAAGTCGCAGACTCGTGGACCGGCTCACCTGCGACAGAGACGTGGGAGTATCATGCCACTGGAGGAGGACTCATCCCAGTTCCTGATCGAGCTGCGCATCGCGGGCTCCACCAAGCGCCGATGCGCCCAGTTGGTTTGGTCACATTACACGCTCGTGCAGAAGCGCAACAAGGTGGACATCAGCTCCGAGTTCGATTTGACCGAGGCCAAATATCCGCCTCTGAGGTTCTCAACCGTAAAGAGCTACCATCTTGATGCCGATGCACCATTAGCTTAAGTTAATTAGGATTCCTGCCAATGGGAAATAAAACATTATGACTTGAAACCCTTTTAGAGGGGGAGTGGAAATAACGAGATATTATTAGCAACTATCCTTTTCGGAGTGTCTAAAAGCTTACAACGTTCTTAACAACTAGAGCATAAAATCTTCCTAGGACAATCGAGAAGCTTAGCTTTATCTCTGCAGTTTGCGTTTAAAATTCGTTGCACCAGTCTGCAAACGTAGCTGCTACAGCGAATGGTTCTAATGGCTTTGGGAAATGGCCGGATGCCACCTTAAGATTCGGACTGAACAACAATATGTTCGTAGCGCATCAGGTCGGGTGTGTCCCAGCAGCTCTTGAGGCAGGTGAAGACCAGCACGTTGCCATACTCGATTGGTGCATTGCAACCGTTCACCTGGAACCGCAGCTTGGGAATCAGTGTTGGTAGCAGTTGCACCTCGCAGATGGTCTCTCCCTTGCAATTCTGACACTTGGGCAGTGGTTCTGTTAACGGGGCCACCAACAGCGGAAGCGCATCCCGGGAATATCTGAAGCAGAACAACTTATGTAGAATTATAGCTCTGATAGATAAAGTGCAATGTTTACCTCAACAACTGGCCCGGATTCTGATGGATGGTAGTGATAAAGTTGTGAAACACCAAGTCGCCATGTGCTGGCAAAGCTTTCTCATAGGACTCGTGCTCATCGCCCTGCTCTGCTGATCCAGATGCGCCGCCGGTAGGAGACTGGCCCGCATCTTTGTCTCTAAGCTTGTACTCCTGATACAAATCACGAATGTGGTCCATGGACAAAGCGCCTCCGAAGTTTTCGTACTCCTCCACCTGGGTCTTGCTCTCCACATCGACGGCAATGTAGTAGGACTTCAGCGTAAGGTCCTTGATCTGCGACAGCAAACACGAGGTGTGCTTCAACAACGCAATTAGGTCGCGTTCCGGTTTCTTCGGCGTGTCGACCAACACTAGATCCGTTTCGGGACCCTCGATCTCAGCAAAAATGGCCGCTGAGGCTGCACTGGCTCCGGCTCCATCCAAACTGGGAGCGGCCGCCGCTGCACAATTAGCATTTGGATCATCATCGGCGTTTTGGGGCGAGATCATATCCATTTGATGAAAGCCAGAGATAAGGTCGTTCTCCAGCGAAGTGCTCTCGTCCTCATCGTCATCGTCCTCGCCGGCAATCTTTACCTGCTCAAGTTTGGCTGGTTCGTCCATTTGTATGTCCGCCTTGGCGTACTGTAGGACATTCGGTCGCACATTGCCATTCCTTTCGTTCTGCTCGTCGTCCACTGTGATGTCCATGGCCTCATCCAATGTTACGGAGATCGTCTTGGCCGACTCGGTTGCTCCACCGCTGCTGTCGCCCCAGTCGTCCGCTCCACTACACCAGCTAACGGACTGCAATCCGCTGGACTTCCCCTTCTTTTTGGAGTGCTGCTTCTTAGTGGGCGTGGCCTTCGGCGAGTGCTCGCTGATCACCTCGTACTGGTGGTCCAGGTGCTGAGTGCGCACACAGCACCAGCTCTTTGAATTCTGAGAGCAGACGGGGCTCACGCATCCAAAAACGTAAAGGCTGCGATGGAATTGAGAGCGATCTAGCGGCGCGTACATCTGCACGATCAGCGGACGCACTGCACCGCACAGCGGGCATGACGGAATGGTCACCTCGTGTCTGGCCCAGTCCTGTGGGTAAAAATCAATTTCAATTATCCGCCGCCTCGATTGAAGTTGATGCAAACTTACGGGTGTGCCTCCGATTTTGTTGGTGCAACTGTTCAGGAATTGCTCCTGCTTGGCCGTAACCTCCTCATCCTCGTATCCTAGGTACACAGTCGACTTATTCTTGGCCATTTTTCATGGTTTCATCCAATTTTTTCAAATTGAATGATTTGTTTTAGGAATGGGCGAAATGAGTGCTCCTGGGCAGATAATCGATAGTTGCACATGGTGCTATCGATTTTTAAGAATATCGACTACATCGTAAACGAGTGTGCGAAATTCAAAATTTCAAATCTAGGCAGTCCAAAAATATGTTAAATATTTTACAAATTTACCGATATTCTTATGAGACAGAATTTTAATTACTAATCATAAGCTAAGACTCAATTCTTTCTGGTTTAGCGGTCAAAAAAGAACCATAAATACAATTGTTTTTTTAAAATTCGTTATATATTTCTTATAATACTCCAAATTTGTGGTTTACTAGCTTACATTTGCACAATCGCCGATTAAAATAAATAAACGCACATATACAATATACACATATAAAAACATAGACAACTAGATTATAGTTACGTTTTTGGGAATGTCAACATTAAAATACGTATATTTTTAGCAACAATAGCGCGCAACAACACTTATCAGTTATTGTCTAGGAAGACGACGCAGTCGCACGGATTTCAAGCACTCCGAGGAATAAAACAAGCACGGACAAATGGCTTTAGCCCTAGAGTTCTAACGAGAACCTGCATCTAATACTCTAGATCTTATGAGTCCTGACGGAATTACTTCTCCAAGGCCTCCTGCTCGCGGTGCTGTCTCTTGAAGCCCCACTCTACAAAGACGAAGGCGATGGTGCCAATGGTTCCCATAACCACCAGGATGCCCAGCTGCACGTACAGTCCAAAATGCGCAGAGTAGAAGAAGCTAATGGCCGCCGCCACCGACTGGGTGAACTTGAACAGGGCAAAAGCTCCCACGGCATTATTCACATACTCCCCGCCAAGCATCGAGTAGATCTGGGTGTTGAAGCAGGCATCGCCCAGGCCCAAAAGGAAGGCACACACCAGGGCGATGCTGGCTCGGGGCGGGTCCAGATAGGATATATCGGTGGTATCTTTAAACGGTGCACTGTTCGGCAGGTTGATGAACGTCATGAAGAACGCTGCCATGTGCATCACATAGCCGGCAATCACGATGGGATCGCGTCCATATCTCGTCGTCTTGTTGCCCAGTATGCCGAAGAGTCCTCCTCCGAAGACCTCGCCGGCTCCAATACAAATGCCCACTAGGCCAACGATCTCCTTCGGCGTTTCGGCTATTTTCGTGGTGAATCCAATCGCTGATCCAAACACTCCGCTGAAGAACGACAGTTCCAGGCCTAGAAAATTAAGATTCAGCAATAAGTATCTCTGATCCCATTTCATTTTGCATACAATCCGACCCACCTGTGTAAAAGAAGGCCAAACTGAGGAGCAGCATTTTTTTGGTGAGGAACAATTGTCCCGCGGACTTCAATGCGTATATGGCCTGTCCACAGCCAGTGTGCTTCTGCTCCAGCTCGTTGTCGTGCTCGGCATTGTCGGGCATGAATCTCAGGGCGGCGAGAAACACGATGCCCAGAATAGCAATCACCGTGAGCACGCCAATGACCAGATTCCGTGTCTCCTTATCGATGCGGGTCTTGTCCTGGAACTGGTAGTACACGAACAGATTGCCGATGAACATGCTGCACTGCAGCAGCGCCCAGAATACGCCAGAGTTACGGGAAATCGTCGAGGACTCACTGCAGCGAGCCAGGTAAGTTCCCTGACCCGTCCAGGTGATCGAGGCACCCAATCCCAGCACTGCGCTGCCCACGTACAGCAACACCGTCGATGGGAAAATGAACGTAATCATGAAGGCCCTGTAAAAGAGTTTGATTTGATTTAGTTACCAAAATGTACGTGTCGTTCGGGCGAATCTACTCACGTATAGGTCAGTGCTCCCACGACCATGGCCACTCGGGGCCCGGTAAAGGAAATAAACGAGGGTGCCAGCCAGTTGGAGAGCGAGAAGAACAGGTAGATGATGGCCAGGCTGGTGTAACCCTCGCCCTTGAAGGTGTCATCTTCCTGGGAAATGCTATCCAGTATGGTTTTCTACAGATTGAGAGATTGGATCGAAAGGTAAAGCGATTAGCATTTTGGTAACGTGCCAGACACATTTTGACGATTGCATGCCAATGAACCAACGGCATACGCATTTGTTTATTGTTTTTCTTTAAATGTTATACACCAAACGTGTTCTCGGTTCAAGTACGCATCATACAGGTATTTCCTGTCCGGATATCTTTTTGGAGATACGATCTCCTTTAAAAAACCCCCCCTACCAAAGCAGATCGAACTAACATACTACGTAACATACTTAATGAAACATGGGTTCGGTTTGAATTTATCTCTAAGCAATCTAAGAATTAAACACATCTTTAAAATCTTCCGCTCATGAAACTTTTTGCAATTCAACGGAAAAGAAAGTTTGATATTAAAATTGAAATTGCTTCCTAAATTGAAAACTTAATTTTCTAAATTCTTTTTTTAACCCATACTCTTTAATGCGTTAAAAAACAACCGCAGCTATTGAATGTATAATGAATACGGCTTGAATCTGCAACCAGATTCAGGTTTAACTTTACAATTCTTGTGAATGTCAATGGAAAATTACAAGCAGCATATGCGAAACATGTTTGCAGCTAAGTCTACAAATTTTCCATTCCAAAGGACGCATCTCGATAAGCGTATCGTTATCTGAGCGTAAAATTCTGACTCTGACACGATTTATATTTCCATTTGCATCAATTAAGTGGCGCTGCAAGTCTGGTCCGGTCCTCGTGCCCATTTTGAAGTCCAACTTGAGAGGTTGCACCCACTGATAATGCTTTAGAAGTGCCCCATTGAAATATACTTATGAATGATCAGGGGCTGGAGCCCCTGAAAGTGAAAGTCGAGAACTTGATTGTCTGCAATCTAGAAGCGGAACTGAATTGTCATTCAAATGTTTTATGCCCCTGGGAGTTCAGGAAGTATTTAATAAATCTTTCTATGGAAAGTGCTTGAAACAGCTTTTGGGATGTCGCTTATGTGCTAGCCATAGTATTTCTAACGTACAAAAAGATTAACTACTGTTTATGGCACTGGTGTGGGGAAGCATAAAAAGCAAAGTGTTATAGACGATCGTAAGGCGGTGGTGATAAGAAATCTCGAGCTTCAAGTGCAGCCATTCCTTATCAGCACCAATGGGCTCAATGAAAATTTGTTGATGATCTCCTCATTATCGGATCGACGTACATAAACACATCCTAACATGAGAATTGGGTCAAGTTTTGAGCAAACATGGCCGAAAGAAAGAAAGTCGAATGCAATCGAAAAAGTACGGTGCGTACGCGGAATTGCAGCAGAATGCGATGAACGACTTATTAAGTCGATCGTCACTTTGCTTTGTTTATTTATTACGCAAAAAAAACTGGCACAACGACTCGAGAAAAACTTAAAAAATGTGAAACGAGTTTCGTTCGATTCTCCTTGCAAAAGGTATATCGACGTTTGCTTGAAGTTTGCACTATTACTTAATTTTATTATATTTTACCAAAACTGCAAATTGTACTACACAATATGCTTAAGTATTGTAATCTTTGAGTACACAAAATAAAACATTTAATGGAACGCTTTTCTGGATCTATAAAACTACATTTTCTGCTTCATTCCATTGTAAGCTCGGTTTTATTCGTTGATTTGCATTGGATTCGATTGAATCTAGGCATGATTCTGTTTCATCTGTCATCAAGATTTCATCGTGTCTATTCTGCAATCTGTCATCAATATCAATATCCTTGCTAGTTGAAACTGCAGCGTTGCAAGGTAATGAAAAGCTAAAGTTTCATTTGGCAAGCTTTATGTTTATGGTGCGACAGTACGCCTCGATTTCTTCGATCGTCTTCTTGCCAGTTTCGTACGGCTTGAAGTTAAGCCCCGTATCTGCGGCATGCATGAGGTCACTTAGTTTCCGACCTCGAGTTATGGTGAACTCGGCTTCATCAAATAGTTTCCGTTTCATTTCAAAGGACATGCCACTCGATTGCACTGAATCCGTAGACGACTCATGTGGAGTAGATGGCTGATCGTTGACTTCCCTCAACTTTTCTATCAAGACTGAGGAATGAATTCTCTTTTGGGCCGTGGGCATCGGCGTATTCCATCCCTTGGTCTTCAGGAATCCGTAGGTGCGACCATCCAGCACCTCCGCTTCGCGGTTAACATCGAAATCGATATCTCTCTTGAAGTATTTTGTCATTTTGTTAAATTACGTTAAGTTTTGCTTAGATATTATAGTATTCTATTGATGATATATTTTGCAGCACTTACTAGGTTGGTTTCAAATTAAGCAATTGAATGACCTCCTACGAACTGAAAACAACAGAAATCCTGGTATAATTTGAATTAGTTGATCAAAAACAGTGAAATCATTCCATGGATATTTATTTGGTTGCCTTATCTGACTTTTCAAAATGTTACAACATTACTGGGGAATTTCCCCAGTTTTGAATAGCCATTTATAGGGTGTTCACGACACTCGGTCTGACCAGGCTAGACTTGATTTTCCGCTCTTTTGGCCAGACATTGTTGCACCCGACTGCCGGTGGAGAAGTTGGCATTTCGGGAGGGGGGTTGGGGGTTGGGGGTTGGGAGCTTGGGTGACTCGGCTTGGGGCAGTGAGTGGTGGTGGGCTCGTCGGCGCACACCCACTTTTCGGCTTGTTGTTGGGCAACCGGCTTTTGTGGGCTATGCTTTTTGTCTGGGCGCAGGCGCTCCGCCCGTCGCCACCCCCGTCTACCCTGCCGCCCACCGTCTTGGCCAAACTGATGTGTGCATACATATGCATGCGCATATGTTGGTCAACCTGGCTTACTTTATTGCTGACGTGGCCTTGAGCCTGACGACCAACACACAGCACATACAGCTGTTTATATGTACATATGTATGTGGGCGGCTTGTGCAGCGGCAGCGAACTTGCGATTGCAATGACATTGAAAGAGTTTTGCCGTTTGACGCGGACTCGATTGCGCAATCAGGTGGAAAGCGGTTTGTGAAAGTGTTCTGCTGGCCACTCCAACGATTGCACCATATGAGCCAAGGCCTCGCTTGAAAATTGCTCTCTAATGGACACGGATTACGGGCCACACGCTGGCCGATCGATCGATCGATTGTTGGTCTGGGAGTTTGGCTAAATGCACTTCAAGAAAACTTTTGTTTTGGCAAATATAGCTGTGTTGTAGCTGTATAGCTTTATGATTCTGAAAATCATTGTTTTTAATTAACCAACTTTCTGCAAGCTTAAACATCATCTCTGGTTTGAGTTATATATTTACATAACTGGATTTTCACTTCCTTATGCGAAATAGCTTCACAAGAATCTACAATAGACCTTATTTTTTACTGTGTAGTTGTAAGTTTAGCTAACTACGCCAATGCACGCCCTGATTGGAATTTACTTTTGCTTTTTTTTTTTTTTGCGCTGCTGCCATAGTAAATTGTTTATAAACAGAAATACCAACTGGAGGGCAGGCACAAAGACAAAAAAAAATGTTACAAATAAAATACACAAAGAAAAACAACAATTTATGCATAGGGACAAATTACAACGAATCATTCAGTTTTGAATCATTTTTTGTGGCCCTTATCAAAAGGTATTGATACAGTGCATTGAACCATAACGAAATGCTTGAAAACGAGCTGTTTGCAAACAAAATAATTACAAAGACCGATTTGGTGGCCAGTTTAGAGTTCGAGTCTCGACCACATCAACATCGCGTCACATACACAAATAAGACGAGATAAACGCGTAAAGAACACTTTTTCGCAAACTCGACAATCCAGTTGGATCCCCACTCACGATTTCATATAGTATAAAAATAGGTACATAAGTCTGTTTTTGGTTTTTTTGTTTTTGCCTGCTGTTGGCCTTGATCTTACGGCTTTTATCACTGACAATAAATAACCATCGAAATAAACCGCTATAATGCAAGCAACCAGTCAATGAACGCGTCCATGGGTCTATCTACCAGTAAGTGTAATCCACTGTGTTTATTTGCCAATATTAATTAGGTAATAATTGTCACTTGATTGCAGTATGCCCCCCAAATCTGCCCATGAATGGGATCACTATCAGCTGCTTCTCGGAATTAATTTTTGTCTAAATAGAGCAGCATTTGTGCCAGTCGATAATACATATCTTGTACTAGTGACTAGTGAGTACTACGCATAAATATTTTGATATACACAATTATTCGGTCGTTGTGACTTTAGGTTGATTCTATTATCATATGATGCATATACACATATATACATACATGTACGTACATGTGCATATGTATATACTTTCTAGATTTTTTTGCTAGATCTTCATTTTCGCTTGGAAACTTATCAGTGAAATGATGATTCTGTCAAAACATGATATATTCGTATATAGAAAGTAAGTCTTTATTATTTTAATGAGAATAATGCTCATATTAAAAGATGCATTCATTGAATTAAACTGATTTTACTATAGAAAATCATAACGTGTCAGTTATATGAAAATTAGTTTGAACCTATGGGGTGTGGGAAAAGAAGTGTCAAAATGTTACAATAGACCTAATGACCCTTATTGGGGTCAACTTCTCTGGCTTGGAGTCGTGCTCCATCATGAACGATAGTTCTCAATGTTTAATATTTCTCCTTTGTTGTTAATATAGATAGGCATAAAATATGCTGAAGGTATAAGTTGGGGTGAAATAATTGAAGGGGAATTATAAACCGTCCCATTCTACATTGCTAACGATACTGATTTGCGACGGACGGATGATGAGTTTACAAGTGCCGCGAGCAGTTCTTATCAATTTAATTTTACACAGCGCACAATGGTTGCAGAATGACTGATGACCTTTGGAGCAGGCAGTATATTAAATCGTTATTGTAATAAGCAACTCCTTGCCACTTTACACCGCCACAAATCAGGGGGTAATTTACGGGCGAACAATTGCCGCTTGAATGGCGGCAATGTTATAACATCCTGTGACGCTGGTTGAAGTGGGCGTAGTGGGCGGCAAGGGCACTGCGATGTCTATTGACAAGGACAAGGACGAAGGTCCAATGGCAAGGATGTCAACAACAACGCCCACGCATACACACAAGCGTGGCAACAGAAAGAGAGCGGAGAGAGTAATGACTTACCTCGATGTTACACATGGTCTGGAATGCCGTGAAGACGAACATAAAGCCGAAGCCCAGGATGAGTATCATCAGGAATTTGAAATCCATCCTGCTGCCGCGCTTTATCTTTTCCAATCACAATATAATCCAATTCAATTAACTGGCCGCGCACTTTTGCATTTGCGTTTGCATTTGCCGACGTCACAAGTGATGAGTGGAGGAGTGCGGGGGCGTGAGCAGCAACTCTCTTATATCTCAATTACCGCTAGAAATCCCACAGTAGACAGATTCGACTGGACGCATCTGTTAAGCACTTATCGCAAGCAATTAAACCCAATGCAAATGCCTAAATAACGATTTACATATAAATAAAAATACGCAAAAACACAAAGCTAAAATACTGAGCAAAAGGTAAATGCAATCTTTACGCGCCGAGGACCGAGAGTTGAATGAAAATATACTTCCAGAGCCGCGCGCTAATAACGGATTCCCAAGGCCCTCCGTCGTGCGACTTATGTATACCCTACACACGATATTTATATTCGGAGCTGATTAATGTAGTACTATGTTGCTACATTTCAGCCTCTTATTGACGATTAATATTAAAAATAGTTTTTGAAAGAAACTATGAAAACTTCAAACGTCTTTTCAAGCCAATTATGTTCCAGCTCTTCTACACATTTTTGTTTTAGCATTTCCATATCAATAGACTCTAATTTTATTAGAGAGAGAGAGAGAGAGAGAGTGAGAAAATATATATGGGAGAGAACAAACACAAAAAGTCGTGAACACGAATTAGACAATAGTCACGCGAATCGACTATCGATATATCGATAGCGGCGCAGGTACTCGATTGGTTTTATTAAATTGAAAATCATTTATAAAAGTCATAATCAGATGAACTTCCGCGCTCGCCTAAAACATCGGAAGTCTGGTTTGTTTGAATATCCAATGAAATTTCTAATGCTCCATCGTTTTCTTGTAAAGTAGATATATGATCTTTCGAACTCTCCTCTACTAGAGTGTTTCCTTGATCCTCAATAATTGGCTGTATTCCTAAGGTTTTTGATTCGTTGTGGAGGATTGAAGATTGGGAATACCAGGGACAGTTTTTCTCTTCCAAGGCTGACTCGTGCGACGATGGCTGAGCCGTCGGGGTTCGCAGGCATATGGGACTGCCACATAGTCCAACCACGGAGGCATTCTCCACATCGGATTCCCCGCCAGAAGTATGGTCGGCTGGCCTAACGTCCAGGCCGACGGGCACAGCGCGACAACTAATGGAAGCTTCAGATCCTTTATTCTCCTCCACATTCCCTTTTACATCCATCGCCGAGGTGGTAACGATATTCTCGGAAATCACTGAAGTCGTGCTACTGGGATCATTCGTCTTTTGATTCAAGCTCATTGGGGCTTGGGGCGTAGCCGGAGTATTTGGAATGGTATACTTCCATCCCGGTGATCCGAATTCTATTTGCTTACCACTTGTGGTCGGTCCGACTGAAGTTGGTTGCTTGTTATAGTCTATGCCTAAAAGACTTCCTGAACCCCGAGGTACGGTATATTTTTCGTCGAAAAGTGACTGTTTGTTAGTGGTGGTGGCACTATCTGTTTCTTTAGACTGCTTGGGTAGTGTTTGTGGTAAAAAGATTTCTCGTTTCTGTTTGACAACGCGCTTTGTATTGCCTCGCATCCGCTTACGCGTCTTGTCGATCTCAGTTCCAGATAGAGAGTCCGCACTTAATATCTTGGTGACCGATTTCCAAGGATCCAAGCGTCCAAGATTGCGCTTTCGACGCTGAAAGTTGTTACTTAAACGATTAGACAGAAAGAAGATCCCTTTGGGTTGTAGACATACCGCATTCTGCACAGCTCTTCGCAGTGGTGTACCAGGATTGCCAGGTGTACTTGCAATGGAATTGGGCAGAACAACGCCCATCCGGGCATAAACTACGTTGCTAAGCGCATATCTAGACGATCCAAGACGCCTCACTATGCCCAGGTTGGTCAAGTTGTTTAGGGACTCCTTTATGACCTCATCTACATGGGCGACCGGAACAAGGTTCCGCATTTGGTACTTTACCTGGTCAGTGATTGCATTAACGCGCACAAAATGAGTTCGGGAAGATTGGAGGATGCTAATGGCCTTGAAAACGTTACGGTTCACCTTTTTTGGCACTCTAAAGTCGTCCATTTTAAGACCAATACGATAATTTAGCTTAAGTGTGTGTGCTTCTAGAACGCTTGATGTGTGTACTAGTTTCACGTTTGGAGTTTGTGGATCAACTGATTGGAAAGTGTTGTGGCGACCATTGACATTTTCAGTGTATGGAAAAGTCTACTGGGATGTGTTTCCCAGAGGCGTTCTCCCGTTTTATTTTATAACATTTAAAGAAATATCATATGTATAGGTGAAAGTGTCTTTTAGTGTTCTAACATCGATTGTTTATTATATAGTTTTTATATTAGTTCCTTGATAATTCTTTTTGTTTTTGGCTTACGCTAAATACTAAAATCTTTCATTTGCAGGTATTTCTTTTTCTTTGAAGCGGAAAGTTTTCCTCCATTTGTATAATTTTTTTTTAGATTTTTAACTGAAAATTTCTCTCAAATTGCAAAGTGATTTTGAGATAACAGTGAATGAAAAGCTCCAATTGCCATCTATTGTACATAAATATCCAGGTATTAAGCAATTATATGCGTGTATAAATACAAAGTTAGTTTGCGTCTCTACTAAAAGAGAGCGAAATAAAAACATTTCCGGAGCTGGTTTGCTTAACACAGACGGTATAAAGTTTTCGAGATACAACAAACAGTTATCATCAACGCTTTATCTTAGAATTAATTAAATGGGCTTCTGCTCTTTTAGGAAATATGTTCCACGGACATTTGTAAAATGGAAAATTATTTTTCTTTGCTTTACTTGAATTTGATTGATTTTCTGCTAAACCCTCCCATGATTGGCCCTACGCTCAACCTGCCTATTCGCTCTTTTTGTGTGTAATGACAGCATCCTCAATCTCCTCCTTGGGCTGGTCCACATCGCCCCATCCCCACGTGGCGTGAGTGCCGTCTCCAGTACGCTTCACACGCTTCTTAATGATGTCCGTGGACACCGTCTTGAGGTCGTAGGCCCAGCCGATCTTGGCGAAGAAGTCGATGAAGGCGGTGGTGAAGTTAAGCGAGTATTTTCCGAACTCGGCCGTTTTGTAGTCCCAAGGGAAGACGTGGTGGTAGTTATGCCATCCCTCTCCGAAGGCCAAAATAGCCACCGAGATGTTCTCCGAGGGATTGATAAATCTATAAAAGACGAAGCTTTGTAAATACTCATTCACACGTTATTCAAATCCTAAGCCCTTACTTGTCGTAGGGACGGCCACCGAACTTGTGGGCAGCGCTGTTCACCAGCCAGGTTACGTTTAGGATGAAACACCAGCGGAACATGGTGGCCACAAACCAGGCGTTCATGAACGATTCGCCCCAGGCGTACATAGGCACCAAGGTCGGGATAATAAAGCAAGCAATTGGCATCAAAAGCATGTAGTATCTGCTCAATAGAATTAACATATTAGAATTTGCAGCGACTTAAACGAATAAAGTGACTTACTTCTTCTGGAACATGAGGATAGGATCGGCGCGCAGATCGGACAGATCGACACCCTTGCCCTTGGCTTTCACCTCCGGGTGCTTCTTGCACAGCAGCCAACCAACATGCGAGAAGAAGAAACCACGGGTGGCGTTGTGTGGATCGGCATCAGTCTCCGAGTATTTGTGGTGGACGCGATGGTCACGGGCCCAATGGTAGGCGGCATCCTGGAAGGCGATCGTGTTGAAGATGACCAGAATCAGTCGCAGGGGCCACTTGGCTTTGTAGGAGCGATGCGCCCAGAGACGATGGGCACCGGCGGTAATACCCAGGCCAGAAACGACATATAGTAAATAAGCTGAAAGAAGAAATCAAGGTAATTTAGTTGGTTAGCTTAGGTTGACCAAAGAGAATACATCATTTAATTTGAAAGATTCATTGCTACCAACTTATTTTTTTAAATTAATTGACTCCTCGGTGACTTAACAAACATTGTTATATTGCTTACTAAGTCGATCGCAAAGGTGATCGCTATAATATATGTACGGTTATTCGATTTACGACAAAAATAAGCACCTGGAAAGCTTAAGTATATGGAAAGCACGATCAGCAGTCTGTGCCATGTTTAGTCTGGACTTTCAAAATAACAACTGAAGGTTATCAGGGCGCAAGCCTTAGATAACCCCTATATGGTCGAGAGTTCGGCACGCGACAGGAAGATGACAATGGTTGTCAAGGCTTACCAAAAGTATAAAATTTCCATATTGTTTACTTATTTGTTTTTCATATATTTTTTTTAAGAACCCAGAATTTTTAAATAATACTGTGAAATACTGGAGCGTTGTATCCATTTCTATAGAAAGAAGACGTTTGCCATTAAGACTTTACTTTGAAAAATGTGATTCTACGTAATTAAGCAATTATTTTTTTAATTGACTTGACCTTTACCTCTTGCCATTAAGCAATAGTTAGATATAATGCCTAATAATAATTCTTTAGAATTAGATCTTTAAGGATCTTTGAACACCAAAGTATATATTCAACCTTCTGCTCAAATGTAGGGTGGATACAACGGACCTCTTCTGATCCCGCTCCCATTGTGATAAATTATTGACTCACCGGTGATGACGGTCTGCCACTTGGCGGAAGTGAACATAAGGTAGGCTCCGTAGACGGCAGCCAGATGGAGGTAACCGAAGGCGATGATGTTGCGCCAGACGAGCTTCAGGCGGCGCTTCTCGGCCTTCTTCATGACGGTGATGTCTTTGACAAGTCCACCGTCGGTGGTCTCCACATCGCACTCGAAGAGCACTCCGGTGGAGTCCTCCTGCAGCTTGGTGGGGCTCTGACCCGATTCGGCGGCGGCACTAGCTGCTGCGATCAGCGAGTCCGAGATGGACTGGGCACCGGCTTGGGCGTTGGGCGGCATCTTGCATCAACTGGCGTGCGGAAAGAAGATAAAGCCAACAAATTAGTAACAACATAAACAAAAGAGCAATTAGTGTGTGTGCCAACTTGGTGGCTTGGGCAATTAGCCAGGTGAGCCGAATGACTGAACTTGACACGCTTTGACTAGGTGATTCCGAGCGGCTTTTTATGGCCAGACCCCGAGGTGTCCAGTTGAGCTGAGCTGAGTTGAGTTGAGTACCCTTTGATATTGTGTATATTCTTGCCTAATATGAATTTTTGTTGTCTTAATCGGCTAGTGGCTAATGGATGAAAAAAATCAATAAACGCTGCTTGCGCGTCCTTGTGTCAGGATTCGCATGGCATGCATAATGTAAAAAGCCGGTGTGGGAACAAGCACCAGGTGGATTTCTGAATGTGGAACATGTGTTTTGTGGGTCACTGGGAACCGGAGCAGATGAATACCTTGGCTCAAGGTTACGGATGAAGCCAGGAACGCAGTGACACGTTTCGTGGAAAATTCCTTCTTCAAATGAACTCTAGCATGCTTTGTTATACACACACACACTCCCACAGCATAGAAAGTGTTAGATTAACAATAATCGCAAACTATTTAGCAAAAAGTGAACAACCGCAAGTTCAATGGAATTGCAATTGAGAAATAGTGTTCTTGTGATTTTACCTGGATTACCCCAAAAAACAAAACTGTTTTTTTCACTGCAGCTAGAAATTAACAAGCCGTTTCGGTTAACTTGCGTTTTAAAACTGCTGTGCAAAAGTTGCCGACGACGAGAATCTGAAGCATTTGGCGAAAAGCTCGCTCGAGAGCTTTATATCAACTAAAGCTTTTGCAGGTGTGTGTATGTGTGGGCAGATTAGAGGTGGTAGATGTTAGCCAGTTGGGCGATTTTATTTGCCCATTGCTGGGTCAGGGTTAGATTTTATACGTCTAGACTCTAGACGGGAGACTTTGGCCCTATCTAATCAGAGTTGCCCTTAACAACCTGACGTGTCTTGCCGACGTGTTTGATATTGTATAGTATCTGTCCGAATCTCTATCCAATCACATGTGAAGCACCTGCTAATTACGGCTTTATCAGACAAGCGGTTATTACAAAACTGGACAGTTGCGTACTTCGAACAATGGATGGGGCCATTACCCAGTTAAACACGTGAACCTATGGTCGAGCAACAGCTTACAAATCATACGATGCTTAGGGGAAATGAGCTCGAAAAAGGCGATTAGATGTCGGTCAGTGGCGTCAGCAAGGGGGTTCTCATAAAGGGCTCCTTACAATGATACATAACTCATTGATCACAACATATGTATACATATTTACATATGTACATTACTTTTCAATTTGCTTGTATTTATGAGTTTTGTGTCAATGCACAGTTCAAAATGTTTATATACATACATATTGCATGTATTATAAATACTCGTTTACGTTAAGGGAAGGCAATAAAAAGACACAACTTAAAATTGTGTACATATGTATTTATACCCCGCCAGAAGGAAGTCCCATAGTATATGTACATACATATGTACAGTCCCTTCTTCAAATTTGTTCTACAGACGCCTCTTATTTTTAACAGATTAAGTGGAAAGCAGAATTTCGCGTTCACACACACAAATGTACATGTGTTTGTAAAGCAAGAACAGTTGATCACACGCCAAAGCTTTTAACATGGCGAAAGAAGAAAGGGCCAGAGACAGTGAGAGAGGGGGAGAGAAAAACCTAATGCCGCGAGCATGTCAACAAAACAGCTGACTGTTTTTGGAGCCGGTAAAACCGGTAAAAACCGACCACAGGCCACCAACAGACAGCAAACATGGGAATGCAAAGTCAACAAACATTGACCATTTATCAGAGGTACGCATTGAACTTGAAATTTGCCGCTGCTTTTGCCATTTTCTTGCGTTTATCCCTATTTCTTTCTTGCGCGTATGGGACAGAAAGCGTGGGAGCTTACACGAGAGCGAAAAAGAGCGGCAGTAAGCTCAAAGAGCAAGATGAAGCGAGAGTAGTTTTCCTTTTGTTATTGTTGCGGGCCGTTATCACGTTGCAAGAGCGTGATGCTTCAGTTAGATATTGAACGCAGAAAAAAATAGTGCGCGTTCTTAAGTTCAGATAAAGAGCTGACAATAGACAAAACTAATGAAACTTTTCTATTTCGAATTATAGTTATGGAAGTTCGAATATAAATAAACGACTACATTATGTTGTAATAATACTTAATAAGTTAGTATTTTTGTTGACAATCAAGTAATCACATGCTATCATATGATGCAATTGAAATAAAAATGGTAATGTAATGCATAATACACAATGGTAAATAAATGTAGCTACCTTACGAAATATATGATGTTTTTGTTCAAATATTCCTAACAATTATGCTTGAAACCAATTCAGTCAAGTATTTTTTTTAGGTATAGTTCGTGCCCGCCGATTTGTTTAGATGTTGTATCTGACAGTTGGACAAATAGACTTTAACTGGAAGACTAGATTGCCGCTCCTACGAACTGTAGCGCAGCAAGAGTGATAAATGATTTCTCGCAAATTCGAAGCACTTAATTTGCAATTTAAGCGTATCCATGCATAATTGCAGTCAAAGTTCGTTCACCGTAAAGAAAGAGAGAAGCTTAGTTGAAATGCAAAGACGAAGCAATTAATTCATATGATAAATAAAATTGAGCACGGAAGCAGTGAATGCGTCGACTAGAGAACTTCGATTGCCCTTGCAAATGTGATTAGATGTTAATTTGGCAAAAGTACAAAACTTGACCATCCAAAGGAATTGGATATATCCATATGTCGTCTACTCTGGTACAATGCCCTACATTTGCAGCAATTTAATGGAATTCAAAGCGTTCTTTGAGCACTCGTTCGACTTGAAGGATAGCTAGTGTATTTTTCTTTGCGTTTCCAACAAGGTAACTGGAAATAAAACCAAATCTAACCTTCCAACTAAAACCTTGACAAAAGCGAAGAGTGAACGCTACATAAAACTTGAACGAAGATCGTTTGGCCAGAGGCCCTCAAAATGAAAATTGCAAGAGATTGAAAGCTAAACGAAGCAAATCTCTCTAGCTGACTTTTCTCGATTTTCTACTTGGCGGTTTTACGTAAACACTGCTCCCACTGGGGATTACATGTGTATATACCAATCCTGTAGCAATGGCTCAACAAGTGGACCGCTGGAAAACCAACCTGTTTTACTTCACCTTCCCAAAACTGGCACTTTTCCACTTTGCACAGTCGGTAGTCCGAAAACTGAGGACACTTTGCGATCGGTCTTTCAATCGATGTGATTGCACTATATATTTCAGTGTAGGAGTGGCGAAAGCACACGTCCGCACACTAGACGAACTCGATTGGAACTGACGAACCTTTCGCACGGTTGCCAAAACGAAAACAAATCGATTAGGCAAATCGGCGGGACAACGTCAGAGCTGTTCTCCGCCGCGGCGAGTGCATTTGGGTGTCAACTTCTCCCGAGCTCCACAGATTACCGGCATGCTAGTACTAGTACTTACTAATACATACTAAGTACATACATATGTACATATGTATATACGAAATGCGTAATTGAATCCCAAATAAGCGGTGAAGTTTTGGAGTCAATTACCATGGGGCACGTCGTCAACAATACAATTACCGAAAGTTAAAAATGTGGATAGTCAAACGCAGCTGCTGGGGTTACCCTTCGCACTTTGATTCCTGCTGCAGGCTTGGGACAGTTTTTTGGGCAATCTTATCGATCTTCTCCGGTGGGTTGTCGGCTTTCCAAGATAATGTTTTAGCCCTGAATACACATGGTCTTTCATAATCTGTTTTTAGTTTATTTGACGGTTCTCGCACTTTGGCCGATTCAAACCAGTTGACAAGATCAACCTCCTAGACCCATAGTTTTACATATATTCCACTGAAGTCGGCACGAAATCAAGTCTATTTTGCATATCTCTTTTGTTTTCCAATTTCAGAAGATGAGCTCAAGTGACACGCGAATTTCATACAAAACTTCCATCTAATTGCATATTTATGTCATAGCGATTAATTGCGAAATACTCCGACGTATTGCTTGCTTGCAAAAGAAAATCCATAACGAAGCTTGAGAAAATTAACTCACAGCCTTGACACCTGGGTCACTAAAATTCGAACTAATCTTTTAAGGTAAAAAAAAAACTAAAAAAGTTCACTACGTTGTAAAACTCCATAATTCTATTATCAGGTCAGGTGTGAAATTGTTTCTAAAAAAACAAAAAACTAAATTTGTAATGAAAGAATCACTTCGTTATAATAAAAATTAATTATATTATAAAAGGTAATATATGTATATATATATATACATATATTATATATTATATATATATATATATATACGAGTTTTAATGTACGTACATTCATAAATTTCTATATCAAACAACAAAGTACTTATAGTGCGCAGTTGAAAAAACGATTAAAATCTGTAGATTGCCAGATTTGTCCGAATGAAAATAATCATAGAGAAATTTTAGCAACCTTTTAATCTCATCACCAGATGCCACATATGTATATAGTAATTCTTTGGACGTCAATGGAATAAGAACCGAATCGAATTTTAAAAGTAAATCTCTTCGTCATTACTGATACAGAAGCATAACAAAAGATCTAACACTTTATACGTAACTACTATTATTAAGAGAAAAAATGCCAAATAACTCTATTGCTTTAATGATGCAACTGTTGTTAAATATGAATCATGAAACGTGTACGCAAAATGTACTTCTTGATACAGCTTCTAAAGAAATTAAAATATATTAGAATCAACTCCAGCTTCCAACGTGGACGTGGAAATTAGGTAGTAGGTTACTAATATCTCAGTAAGTAAGAGTATTACTAACGCGAACTGATTAATAAGCTTCCAACTGGAGTCCGCTATCCGTAGTTTAGAATGCCCCTCAAAAGGGTTAGCTCGCTTGGGCGTGACGTCACCAGGGCGTGCGCGCGCTAAGGTTACATGTAAACAACTTTCGGTGCATTGTACTACTTGCAAAACTATAATCTATTAAATAAATTTCCATTAGTTGATAATCGGCCATATTTCTAATCGGGCTTAAAACCGACGCCGGTGATGTGTCTGATTAGCTGATATGCGAACATGTGCATGGCAGCAATTGCTTAAAATGTGTAATGCTTTATTTAATCTTGGTAGGTTTGTTTGTGTACAACTTACGCAAATGTTATCCAAATCTACAGAGTAATATAATTTATCACCAACTTCCAACGAATCAAAGGTATCCTATCCAGTTTTGTGATGGCAAAGTGGTCCACCTATTTATGAGTTAGATGAGTATCGATAGCGTGGTTTTATCGTATCTTATCGATATATGTAAAGTCTATTTTTTTTATAGCGGTGTTAAAGATTTAATTATATTATATTTATAATTATCATAATCAATATCATAAGCTAATAAATTAAATCGTAATTTTTGCAAATCCAAATTATTTTACTTAAAGTTCTTTTATATTTGAATTTAGGAGTAACTGTAGATTGTAGTTTACATGTAGATGCGATACATACAAATATAAATCTAAAGTTTTTACGGAAATTTTCAGTAAATGATGTTTAATTTTATTTGACAGTGATTAAACTAATTACACTTTTGTTTAATTTCCTGTAGCTTTAGATAACTTTTTAAAGTCTCACCACTTTAATACTGTCATCAAAGTAGTCAAAGCGTTTTGAATAAAATTAAGAATTTCTTGTTAATTACTTTCGGTTTTCGAATATCAGATCGGAAACAATTAATTAAAATTGATAAGGATGATGGGCATTGATGCTTTAATCCTCCAAGTATATCAAAGGCGGATGGTGAAGATCCTGCTTGCAACTTTTGCCAGGATGCTTATCGTGTCCAGCTTTCTGGCGGATGCTCTGCACATCTGCCAATACTGGCGACTGGAGCAGAGCATCCTGAACATGAACTGCTGTTGTGGGCTCATTGCGGCTGGAGTCTGTATCAACCTGCTGGCGATTGGACAATTTATTGGCTCCGCACTGATTGTGACCAGAATACAGATTAATCTGGGCACGGGACTGATTTGGATGGCGGCCCACCTGCGGATGGCCGTCAATCCGTCGCAGTGGAGCCTCGTCAGGTACTTCCAGCTGTGCAATGTGATCAGTGCCCTGCTGGTCATAATGCTGAGGTCTCGACGCACCCCGGTTGTCGCCTTCCTGCTGCTCACCTACGTGAACTGCAAGAATAAGGACCGGCTGTTGTGGCACGTCCTCTACAAGTACGCTGTGAAGCTCTTGGTGGGTTTCATCCTCGTGGGTTATCGGCAAAGGGTCTCCGCCGGGCTGATGGTCCTACTCTTGTCCATCCATTGTGTGGACATGCACATCTGGCTAGATTCGTCTCTACGGCATGCGGCTTTGACTTCGAGTGACAATTTCTGGCACAAGGTATCCGTGGCTGGCGGATTGATATTTATTGTCGTGAATAGCCGACATTACCATAGCATGTTTTAAGCTGTCAGTCCATTCAAAAACAAAAACATACATATATGATGTCGCAAGAAACTGAGCCGGAACCAAGTCCAGGACCGAAGCAGGAGAATGGGCCAACCACCACTGGTAGTTTCCTTTGCCTGCACACATCGCCGCCTCTCCACATCGCACTGCACGGCATGTCGGCCCTTACCCACACCCGTTTATCTAGGACCGCCTTCGATCTCTGCCTGGAACTGCTGGAGGCGGGGGTCAAGCCGCAGGCTTTGGCGGACATAGTGGTGCACATACTTGAGTTTAAGGAGCAATTTAATTGAATTGAGAATGAATTCAAGAACGCACTTAAAACTGAAACTTTCCTACAGACACCAGATTAGTCTTATCACATCCGACCTGCGCAACTCAAACTTCAACCCTGGTCGTGATCACTCGAAGAAATCCCTTATTTGATAAGCAATATCAGTTATAATTCGCACTCACTATTAGCAACCATCATAAATGTTTGATATGTGGCCAGCTAACATTGTTTTTGGATTTTGTTATCAGATGAATGGCTATATTTGCCCAATTTCATAGTTATTATACCTGTAACTCGTAGAGTAAAAGGGTATACTAGATTCATTGAAAAGTATGTAACAGGCAGAAGGGAGCGTCTCCGACCATAAAAAGTATATACATATTCTTGATCAGGATCAATAGCCGAGTCGAACTGGCCATGTCCGTCTGTCTGCCTCGATCTCAGGAACTACAAAAGCTGGAATGTTCAGTCGCTGCGACGTGCAAAAAAGCTGTCACGCCCACATTTAAACAAAATTTTAAGCTTTTTTTTCCGTTTCTTTTTTTTTTTCGAAATTCTACCAATATTCCAGAAAATGAAGAACGGGGTTTTGATAGTCGAGGAAGCCGTCTATATCATTATCTTGTCTTTTGTAGTATTACTGAGCAATATATCATCGTATTCAGTTTTTAATTTAGGAGTACTCAAAAATCGTCAGCTACTCTTGTCGACAAAGAACACGTTTCTGGCATCCTCCGCTGTCAGGTCATTATTATAAAGAGCTCTGTGCCAGCTTATACTACAGATTCTTGGATTTCTTGGATTTTAAAAAATATTGTCACTAACATTATAAGATTAAAGCCATTCCATTTTATCCGATTACAGTAATGTATTTGAATAAGTTAGAAAGGTCAAATGGATCAGTTTGAAACTGGTAATAGATGCGTTATGTACAAAATTAAATTAAATGATTTGGAACAGTTAATTTTGTTAGATAAGGCATAACTACTTTTCGTTTGGCTTATCTTTGGGATCTTTACTATCGACGCTTTCAGCCGGCTTTTCTTCGGCCTTCTTCGACTTCTTTTGCGCCTTTTCGGCCTGCTTCTGCTTTTCGGCCTCAGCCAAAGCAGCCTCCTGCTCCTGCTTAAGTTTTTCCTTCTGGGCAGCAGCTGCCGCCACTTCCTCATCGTCCCAGTCGGCCATCGAGCGATCGCGCTTTAGCCACGAATGCGTGGTGTCCGGTTTGAAGGCTGCGTGGAAATATAAAGTATTAAGGAAATGAAAAACCACTAGTGCTGACAAAACTCACTCTGGTTGAACCATTTAATGCCATTTTGCATGTCCTCGATGATTTCACGGGACGTGAACATCACCTCGTTCTGCACCGCCTGGTGGAACGTTGAGGTCTCGAAGGTGCTCGAGTAGACCGAGTTGCGATCGTGGATGAGTGCGCGTTGCGGGAACTTGGCTAGGCAGGTGGCCAGCTCCAGGGCATTGCCCAAGGCCGTGCCCGTGGGCACAATCCGGTTGACCAGTCCAATGTCGTGAGCCTCCTGGGAGCCCACCGGACGTCCCGTTAGTATCAGGTCCAGGGCACGGGACAATCCAATCATGGCCGGCAGCCGAATAGTGCCGGCATCGAGCATTGGCACACCAAAGCGTCGATTGAAAAATCCCAGTACGGCGGACTCCTCCATCACGCGCAGATCGCACATGAGAGCCAGTTCCAAGCCGTTGGCTATGCAGTAGCCATTGATGCCGCACACCACTGGCTTCTTGATTTGGCGTCGCGTGGGACCCACAGAGCCCTCCGGTCGCATCAGGATGTCCACGCTGATCTCCTCCTTCTCGTCGGTGCTGATCTCCAGAATGTCGAAGCCGGAGCAAAAGGATCCGCCCACGCCGTACAAGACAGCCACCGGCGAAGTGTCGTCCGCCTCGAAATTGGCGAAGGCGTCGCAAAGTTGCGAGGCTGTGAGCGAATCGATGGCATTGCGCTGCTGCGGTCGATTGATGCCGATCAGCGTGATGTTTTTGTCCTTCTCCACCAGGATGTTCTTGGGCGGAGCTGCGTCCGCCTCCTGGGGCGCAGGATCTGGAGCAAATGAGCGGTTACTACACTGGCTCGCGCTCACATTATGTCACCGGCTTTTCGACGACTTATGTACATACCTTTATACAGCGCTTTTGTCGATGAGAATGTGCGAATCGCCGCGGTGAAACGTGCTTGCTGGCCCACCTGCTGGGCCAACAACCTGCCAAATTTGCGAAGCATGATCTAAGCCAAAATGGCAATCAATTAATCTGTACAAAGGAGAGCAACAAACTGAGATGCTTACCGGAAAGTTAAATTTTGGTCAAGTTTTGTAAAAACAATTCGATAGTAATTGTTTTACAGAGCTGCCACCGTTTTATGGCAATCCTATTCTCTTAGCTTTTTCCCGCTAAGCTCAGCTATTCTAAAGCTATTTTGGGTTGCGGTGAATTACAAAAAGAAAGCAACTAATTTTGTTAAAAAATATTTAAACAAATTGTAAAAGTATCGTAAATAAAACGTTTAATGCGTTCAATTGCTATATTTTGAATATTTCATTTGGTTTTCTTGTGTATGTGCAGAAAGACAACTTAGCAGAGACAGTTGGCAGCACTGACCTTGTAAATGCGTTTTGGCATTTTCAAAAGGCGTTAGTATGTTTTAGAAGCGTCTCACTGAGTGTTCTTGCAAAAAAAAAAGTTGCAATAAGCTGAAAAACCAATTTAAACTTAAAAAATAAATAATGGTTGTGGATATGGACACCAACGAGATATCCGTGGAACTCACGGAGGCGGAGAACGAGCTGTACGACAGACAAATCCGACTCTGGGGCTTGGAATCTCAGAAACGGTGCGTGCAAAAAAGCCGGCATTCTGCAAAGGCGCTATAATAAGCGAAAATATATTTTCAATTTCAGCCTGCGTACGGCACGGATCCTTATCGCAGGACTGTGCGGTTTGGGTGCCGAGATTACCAAGAACATCATCCTGTCCGGAGTCAATTCCGTGAAGCTGTTGGACGATAAGAACGTAACCGAGGAGGACTTCTGTTCGCAGTTCCTGGCTCCCCGGGAATCGCTGAACAGCAACCGTGCTGAAGCATCATTGGCACGGGCACGTGCTCTCAATCCCATGGTGGACATCTCCGCCGACCGCGAGCCCTTGCAGGAGAAGTCCTCAGAGTTCTTCGGCCAGTTCGACGTGGTGGTGGTCAATAGCGCGACCAACGAGGAACTGCTGCGCATCGACACTATTTGCCGCGACCTGGGCGTCAAGTTCATAGCCACCGATGTGTGGGGCACGTTCGGGTTCTACTTTGCCAGTCTGCAGAAGCACAACTATGTTGAGTAGGTCCCTCTATCTACCATTGCTCAGAAACCGAATGTAGATCTTTATTACTTTGTAAATGTTCACCTTTTTCAGGGATGTAATCAAGCACAAGATCGTAGCCAACGCGGATAAGAAAAAGAAGTATGAAACCGTGTCCATTCCAACTCAACGTGATGTGGACTATCCCGGCTACTCTGCCTGGCTTGAATTCGACATTACAGCGCCTAGTTATTTGCGCAAACTGAAGCGCAATGGTCCGGGTGTTTTGTTGTTAAGTGTGCTGCAAAAGTTTCGCACGACCCACCAGCGAGATCCAAGCTATAAGACCCGAGAAGCTGACCTGGAATTGCTTCGCGGGATTCGCGACGAACTGATGCCCAACTCTATCCTGGGCGACGAAGCCCTGGGTCTGATTTTTGCGCAGATATCCCCAGCCGTCGCGGTTGTTGGCGGCGTTGTGGCTCAAGAAGTCATCAAGGTGGTTACTAAAATGGAAGCGCCACACCGTAATCTGTTCGTTTTTGACCCCGATACTTGTGCAGGATATGTCGAGACCATTGAAGCGAAGTGAACTTATCCACTAAAGGCTTATATTAAAAATTTGAATATCATATAACACCAGTTGTAAATTTTATTTTTTTTTTTAATGTCCCGTACTTATCAGAAAAGCTTAGCTTGTGGTAATCTTAGCGGGGCGTTTAAAGTTTAGGGGATGCTGGCCAAGTAGTCCTTGATGGAGGCGGGGTCCAGACGCTGGAATCCGTTCTGATCGCAGATTCCGATTTCAATGTTGTCGGCAGTCATTTTTCCCTCAAATCCTTCTTTCAGAGTGAGGATGGCGGTGTGAACAGCATCGTCCAGCTCCAGATCTTCGCTGTAGCTGCATGTGGATGAAAATATGATTGACCCCCTACACCTTAGGGTTACAATTATTGGTACTTACCGCTTCTCCAGGAAGGTTTTGCCGTTGACTGCGTTCTTGCCCATGGCAGTGGCCTTCCAGGCGAAGTAGGCGCCCGAAGGATCGGATTGGTACAGATACGGACGATCGTTGTCCCAGCCGCAGATCAGTAGGGAAACTCCGAAGGGACGAACGCCACTGTGGGTGGGATTGTATGCGATTACCATGGGGACTCAAAGTGGAGGACAGTTGGCACACTTACCCGGACTGAGTGTACTCCTGCATGAGCGTGGCCACGCGCTGCACCAGCTGCGACACAGGAATCGGCTCCTTGTAGGTCAGGTAGTATGTCTGGGCGATCTTGCGGGCCTGTTTCACAAGCAGACGAAAGTCCGGACCCATTCCCGAGTACACCATGCCGATGTGATTGTAGATCATCTCCACGCGATGCACACTGTGCTCCTCATACAGCGGCGACTTGTGTTTGTTCTCTGTGGCAATGACGACGCCATTGGAAGCTGCATCCGAAAAGAGGGTGTTAGTTGAATGCACAAGACTGGCTGCACGGCATACTAACCCATGATGCCCACGGAGGGAGCTCCGCCGGATACGGCCGCCAGTGCGTACTCCAGTTGGACGAGTTTTCCGGAAGGACTGCAAAAGTTAGAAAATTGTACTTATTGCCCAGTCATGGCGGCAGGTTAAATTGCGCCGGGTGAATCGGATGTTCCCCGCGGGTTATAGCGCTGCTCTCACCTGAACGTGGTCAACGAAAAGCTGTAGCGTTCGGTAGCCATATTTGCTGGGCCTCAAATGCGGTGATTTGATGGGTAAAATAAAAAAGCCGACTTACTTCGCACAGAAACAAAAATGACACAGCAATTGGGCGGCAGTGTGACCGAATGTTGAATGCCACAAATAATACAGTTCGATCACGGCCTGAGCAACTGGTCACACTTTTGATGTTTTAAAACTTCAAAAATTCGAAAAAGCATTGATTCATTACTAATCGTTTATTACTATTACTTTATTTCTACGTTATGTCTGAACTAATTATTTTCAGTCTGAGTTCATGCCGCATAAGTTTCTCCGCTGGTGTCGCCCAAGACTGGATTTCTGGGTGAATCTGGTTGAGCAGTGTGAACACTTGAAGGGCTTTTCTCCCGTGTGCACCAGCAAGTGTTTCCGATATTCGGCGCTCCTTGCAAAACTCTTAGAGCAATGGGAACACTTAAAGGGCAATTCGCCCGTGTGCGTTCGCAAGTGTATTTGAAGGGTCGTGTTGGACGAATAAGTCTTCGAGCAGTGGGAACACTGAAATGAGTTTTTTTCAGTATGGTCTCGCAGGTGCAACTGCAGTTGCGAATGCAGCTTAAATGCCTTCGAACAGTAGGAACACTTAAGTGGATTTTCTCCAGGGTGATCTCGCAAATGGACCTGAAGATGCGAACTATGTTTGAAATCCTTGGAACAGTGCGTACACTTAAATGGCCTTTCTCCCGTGTGAACTAGATGGTGCTCCTTGAGGTGAGACTTCCTAAAAAAGGATTTCGAGCATTCGGCACACTTAAACTGTCGCTCTCTTGTGTGCGAACGTGCGTGGATTTGAAAAAGTGACCTCATTGCAAAAGTGGCTGGACACTGGGAACACTTCAGGGGCTCTTTGCCTGCGTGTTCAAGCAAGTGTAGTTGAAAAATGGAATTCCTTGCGAAGGTCTCTGGGCAATGAGGACACTTGAATGGGTTTTCTCCCGCATGCATTCGCAAATGTATTTGCAAACTTTCATTCCCTGCAAAAGTCTTTGTGCACTGGTTACACTTAAAGGATCCTTCAGCGTGCGTTAGCAGGTGCTTTTGAAGAATTGATTTTAGCTTAAAGCTCTTCGAGCACTGGGAACACTTAAAGGGTCGTGCCTCCGTATGCGTTCGCAAGTGTTCCTGGAGATGCGAGTTGGTTTTGAATGCCTTCGGACAGTGGGTACACTTGAAGGGGCGTTCTCCTGTGTGCGCACGCAAGTGTTCCTGAAGATTCGTTTTCCGCGCAAAAGACGTTGAACACTGGGTACACTTGAACGGCCTCTCGCCAGTGTGCACTACCATGTGTGCGTGAAGTGTAGACTTCACTGTAAATGACGCAGAGCACTGGGAACACTTGAAGGGCCTTTCTCCTGTGTGCATACGCAGATGTTGTTTGAGCGATGTATTCAGGGTAAAAGTCTTTGAGCAGTGGGAACACTTAAAGGGTCGGTTTTCGGCGTGTATGAGCAAATGTCGCTTAAAATGTGTGCTGCGTGCAAAACTCTTGGAGCAGTGGGAACACTCGAACGGCCGTTCTCCTGCGTGAATTTGCAAGTGTGTTTGAAGGTTTTCCTTTCTTGTAAACGTCTTTTGGCATTGTTTACACTTAAACGTATCTGTGTGATTTCGCAAGAGGCACTTCTGTCCTTTTTTGGATTTACAAGTCATCAGCTTCGTCGGGGCTTTTTTGGGCTCTTTTCTCTTTCTTTTCGCTGACTCAAAATCGATGTCATAAGTTTCCTCGATCTTTATTTCGCTTTCTGGCTGTTCGATGTCGCAGTCTGAAATCGAGCGCAATTCTTCCTCGAATGTGTCTTCTTCGAGGGGTTCGTTCTTCACGGGGCATTCATCAACGATCGCCGAATCCATAGTTCTAAAAATTAGAAACATAAGGAGTCGTCTTTAGTGCGATTTCAATCTACTTACCGGTAACTAGATGAGCTCCTAAGTCGATTGGATTGCTTAAATTATAGACGTGTAGCCTTACAATAAAAGTGTAAGACCATAAACATAAATATCATCACGTTGTTTGTACATAAAGGGCTTTCCTTCAACTGATTAAGCCCTTGATTCACTAGCTAAAGCTCCTAAAGTTAGCAGAATAAACATCCCACTCTCCTTATTTTAATTAAATGAATTTGAGTGATTTTAATTCAAGTGAAAAGGTTTAAAAATTCAAAATGTATCACCCCGACCAATATTGTATCCGGTATATTTTAAGAAGGCGTTTAGCAGTCTGTTTGCAGTCGTTTTCTTACCGGTCCAGCTCCGGTCACACTGTTTCCATCTGTAAAAGAAAATAGAACGCTCCGGCGTTAAGAAAATAATTAAAAATTCATCCCCACAGGAATATGGTTCGTGGAGCTCTCCGAGGTGGGCGCCCCATGCGCGGCGGTATACGTCCGCCCTTCAAGAAGACATTCGTACCGCGCCACCCCTTCGATCTGACCCTGGCGGAGGTCTTCTTTCCCAAAGTTCCATCCGCCGGCGCCGTTGACGATTCTGCTTTGACTGCGGTAAATCAATAAACCACATGCGTATCCAAGGGGATTTCAATAGGATTACAATTGACATTTCAGGCGCTGCTGAAGCGTAACCAGGACTTGAGTCCCACTCCCAGCGAGCAGACTGCCATAGGGAATCTAGTGACCAAGGTGCAGGCTGTCCTAGACAATCTGGTGGTTGCACCCGGTGATCTTACCACTTGTGTAAGTACATTACACTACTCTTTGTTATTGGCATGTACAGTATGCTCGGGTTTTCCACAGCAACTGGAGGAGGTGCGTCAGGTTGGGTCCTTTAAGAAGGGCACCATTCTGACGGGCAACAATGTGGCCGACGTTGTGGTTATCCTCAAAACGCTGCCCACCAAGGAGTCCGTCGACGCCCTGGCCAAAAAAGTCGAGGCCGACCTGAAGGCCAGCATGAAGACTGAAGTTCTGACCAAGGGCGATCAGCACACCGTACAGATTCATGAGCGCGGCTTCGACATCTCCAATGTGCATGCCAAGGTGCGCATTCTGATCGCCACCTTGCCGCAAAATCTGCGCAAGCTTGAGCCCGAGATCCATTTGGATCATAAGCTGATGCAGAGCCATCTAGCTGCCATCCGCCACACGCGCTGGTTCGAGGAAAATGCCCACCACTCCTCGATAAAGGTGCTCATTCGAATTCTTAAAGATCTCACCAGGCGCTTCGACGCCTTTTCGCCGTTGTCGGCCTGGATGTTGGACCTGATCGCCCATCTGGCCATCATGAACAACCCGTCCCGACAGGCACTGCCCATCAACCTGGCCTTCCGTCGCGTCTTTCAGCTACTCTCCGCCGGGCTCTTTCTGCCCGGCTCGGCCGGCATCACGGATCCCACCGAGCCGGGACACATTCGGGTGCACACTGCCATGACATTGGAGCAGCAGGATGTGTGCTGCTACACGTCACAGACGCTGCTCCGCGTGCTGGCCCACGGCGGATACAAACACATTTTGGGCCTGGAGGGCAACACCAGCATTGTGCGCGAAATGTCCGTCTGGAACGGCGTGTGCGTGTCCCCCCTAACCGCTGTCTACGAGAAGCCAACGGACAAGAAGGAGGGCGACCTCGAGGAGGACATCGAGATGATCGAGAATGAAAACGAAGATGACGGCAGCGACGATGGAGCCGAGTAATACAGCCCCAGCTATTCATTTACAATTGTATTTAAATTGCACATCATGCACTTTTTCAAAAGCAATGATTCAATTGATTATATTACTCCCACGTATGGGTTCATCCTCACCAATGTTGTCAGCCAATTCCTTGCCGACTATGTCCAAGTAAGCCTCCGCTGTCAGGCCGCTGGGTTCACTAACTTTAATAGCCATATCTGACAATTGCAGCCTATTACCTTTTTTAAGGCTCCTAGCTGCCACAATGGATTTGCCCAGTTTAGATCGACAGGGCAACTCACAGGGTAGAATGGTTTTGTACTCAACGTCCTGGAGAGCTGCCTCCAGTTCCCGGCCTCCATTTAATTCTTGAAATATTTCTTTAGGAGACAGCGAAAGTGCAGAGAGTTTAAAGTTGGCGATTGCAACAGTTAAAGCATTCAGTTCGTGGGGCTCAAGGGAGCAGCGATGATCGGAGCCCTTCTGACTCTTGTCCAGCGTAAAGTGGCGCTCCACTATGCGTGCTCCTAGCAATACAGCCGCCTGGCTAACGACCACTCCAAGCTCATGACCCGAGTACCCAATTACCACATTGGGAAAATGTCTCTTAAAAACGGATATGAACTGCAAGCTGCAATCTTCGGGTGCAGTTGGGTATGATGAAACGCAGTGCATTAGAGCGTAGTCCTGTTTTCCTGATTCCCTCATAGTTTGCACAATCCTCTCCACAGTTTGCATGGTCTGCATTCCGGTGGAGATTACAAGAGGGAAGTCCCAGCTGGCGGCCTTTTTTAGAAGCGGAAAGTTGTTTGCGTCTCCGGACCCAATTTTAATGAATGGAACATTTAGATCGGCCAGGAACTCCAACGATCTCTGTTAAAAATAACATTTTATAAGTGATTAATAGCTATTCATGCAAGAAAAGATAGATAGATAGTACACATCTATTAGAAATTTACTACTAAACTGCTCATAACTTAAATCTGTTTAATCACTCTTCTTTATGGTTTTGTTTTAGCGGTGTTTCGGTTTAAACATGAATAACTTCAAAGATGCTACTTTTACTTAATTTCGGTAGCTTGCATTCCTCAATTCATATAGTTTTGAATACAAGCCCTTTGCAAATCCCCTTATAAAGATATTTTAAAAAATGGAGTTATGTCTAACAATCAATTAATATCAACCTCATCCATGGCGGAAGCAGTGAAGTCCACGCTTAGCTCCTCGCAGTAGGCCTGCAGCTGGAGGTACTGATCCTTGGAGAACTCCAAGTACTCCTTGTGCTCTCCGTAGGTTTTACCCCAGGCGTGATCGGTGATATATTCGCGATTTAGAGCGGATCGAGTAAACTTTGCTGGCAAATCGGATTTTTGAAACTTAACGCAGTGGCATCCGGCTTTCTTGGCCTCCCATATCATTTTCTTCGCTGTTTCTACGCACCCCTGATGGTTTTGGCCAATTTCCGCTATAATATAGACGGTATCAACTACTTTTCCGCTTATAATATCGTTCAACAGCATTTTAATTAAATTGAAACCCGCCTATTTAACAGTTAATTAAATGATAAGCGGGCGTAGGCAGGAAATGTATCGATTATCGATAGCAAAACATAAGCAAATTCTTACAAAAAGTAAAAGCTTTTCACGGCATGATTATTTGATGTGATATTTTCTTTCAATATTATCTTTGGTTCTGTGAAACTTGAAGGAAACTTGAACATTTATAAACATTATTCATGTGGGTATTTGTATCAATAAGGTAATTCTTATTGACATAAGCATTTGAAATTTAAATGTATTTAAAATATCCGCGCGTTCCCTAAATAATCGAATAGACTCGGCGAAAGCGTCAATCTTCCACCTCTAGTTCCCAGTTAGTCATGCCCGGGCGTGCTTGAGTGCGAGCGGGATGGTTGGTATCCACCTGTACAGGGCTGCCACTCGACTGAAATTGAATATCTGGTCAACCCAGGACGCCATGCGTTTAAATCGATTACTTCCAGAGCGACAAAATTTGAGGCTTGAGATTTGCCAATTTCGAGCGACAATAGGGTTAAAATACCCAAACAGAATCAAAATAAAAAAGTGGGACTGTTGCAGAACGTGAGCTATGGATAATAAGTCGTCTTTACGGAAAAAATGGAATATTAAGTTAACTACATTATCGATTACGCACTATCTGAGCATGTTATCGATTAGATAAGATGGCGTCTATTATGTGGCCAGATCCACGCCTTCCGGCGGTGTGGCACCACTAGCCTTATGCACACTTGCCATCCCGCTCGCACCCGCGGAACACCGTACGAAGGAATTTTCATACCAGTTAGCTGTGAAAAGTATTTAGCAGAAATAGATTTGGGAAACTAGAGAGATTTCGAGGGTTATTTCGGCGCTACCAACCATCGTTCGCGGCAACCTCGACACCCAACAGCAGCAGTAGTGCACCAGATCAACACTTCCCGACGCAAACATGGGCGACGTGATGAATATCGACAGCATAATATCGCGACTTCTGGAAGTGCGTGGGGCACGGCCAGGCAAAAACGTACAGCTCTCGGAGGGTGAAATCCGGGGACTCTGCTTGAAGTCGCGCGAGATCTTCCTATCGCAGCCCATTCTACTCGAGCTGGAGGCGCCGCTGAAGATCTGCGGCGACATCCATGGACAGTACTATGATCTGTTGCGTCTGTTCGAGTACGGCGGTTTTCCGCCGGAGTCGAATTACCTGTTCCTGGGCGACTACGTCGATCGCGGCAAGCAGTCGCTGGAGACCATCTGCCTGCTGCTCGCTTACAAGATCAAATACTGTGAGAACTTCTTCCTGCTGCGCGGCAACCACGAGTGCGCCAGCATCAATCGCATATACGGATTCTACGACGAGTGCAAGCGTCGCTACAGCATCAAGTTGTGGAAGACATTCACGGACTGCTTCAACTGCCTGCCGGTGGCGGCCATTGTCGATGAGAAGATCTTCTGCTGCCACGGCGGCCTCAGTCCCGATTTGACATCTATGGAGCAGATCCGTCGCATTATGCGGCCCACCGATGTGCCCGACCAGGGCCTGCTGTGCGATCTCCTGTGGTCCGATCCCGATAAGGATACCATGGGTTGGGGCGAAAACGACCGCGGCGTTAGCTTCACCTTCGGCGCCGAGGTGGTAGCCAAGTTTTTGCAGAAGCACGAGTTCGATCTCATCTGCCGAGCCCATCAAGTCGTCGAGGATGGGTATGAGTTCTTTGCCAAACGCATGCTGGTCACCCTGTTCTCGGCGCCCAACTACTGTGGCGAGTTCGACAATGCCGGCGCCATGATGTCCGTGGACGACACGCTGATGTGCTCGTTCCAGATCCTCAAGCCAGCTGACAAGCGTAAAAAGTAATATCACACACATGCAGCAGCAAGAGCCATCTTTTTCTATCTAAAACAGATTAATAAGAAACCCAACCAAGATACAAGACAAAAACACCACAACAAAAACAAAAAACCAAAACCAACATCCACAACAATCAGAAATAAAATTCTTTGAAACAACACATCAAAATGATGCATGAAACGTAAGTGTGGGCTGCTGACGCAGTGAAATCAACTAGTGAATCACACTCTCACCCCAGTACCTTATCTCTGTTTTTGGTCACTTTTATCATCGGCAGCCAGGGCGAGTCAAAATCCACAAGAAAATCCCTCAGCAATTCGGACAGCCAGCGAGTGCATGCGTGCATGGAGTAGCAGCGCCACGATCAAAGGACATCCCCTGGGTCCCTTCCAGCAGATGAATGCAGTTTTTCCTTCCACCCCCATTGAGATTTAAATCGCAATTACAAACACATTGACAAATACCATGATTAAACGCCACATATTTATTTTTAATAGCCCCCGCATATATATATATATACATATATATATACTTATATGTATACCTATCTACCGACCAACCATACACCCACGCACACACACTTGTACACACATTTCAACACCTACGTTTATGGGTTTTGTCCAAAATTTAAACACTAGGTAATCAGGTCCGTACGAGCAGAGCACCCAGCATAATATTGGACTAGATGGAATAGAGGAGAGTGACTGGACCTCAGTCGGTCACAAAGCATACAGAAAAGGGGGCCCTGTAGCGCTCTTTGGCCTTAAGAGTATAAAACAAAACAAAACGAGAAACAAAAATCGAAGAAGGGAAATCGTTAAACAGACGAGCAGGAGGTGGAGGCGAATGCTTGCCAAGAAGTGAATTATAAACACTAAGTTTCGACCTTGAATCAGTTTTTTGTTCGTCCACATGGCGGTCCGAACAAATGGACGCCAGAGGAATATCCGCACGAGAATCAAAGGAATTTATTAGTTTGCCCCCGAAAACTCCTTTCCATCCATTCATCAGCTATCCCGTCATTTTAAGGATGTGTTTTTTTAAAAATTAACTATTATTAATATGTATTATCAATAATCCTTTGTATTAATAAACAAATGATATAAAACGTGTATGAATTATGAAACTGATTTCAATAAACATTTGAAAAATCCATAATAAGCATTCGCTGCATTACTTGTATTTCGCTTTATTTACATGTACACTTCTGAAATTACTTAACATTTCTTCTAAATGGATGCCATCTAATGGGATGTCTGTTTACTTTTGGTGTGAGCCTGCGAGCTGCTGTCATCTGAGATCTACTCACTGGAGCCACTGGCTTCAGATTGGACGTTTTGGCTTGCTTGTGCGGCCTCCTCGCTGGCCACCACCGCTTTCTCCTCAATCTGGCAGGCCTCCACAACAGCGGTTATCTCCGCCACGGCGTCCGAACTTTCTCCGGGTTTCTCTGGGCCTGACCCGCCGTTCTCCTGCTGCTCCGCCGCTTCAGTGGACTCGACCACGCTCTCTGGCTGCTCCGGTGCGACCACTTCGCTGGGGGCCACTGGCTGATGGCCCTGGAGCACCTCCGGATTGATGCTGTTGATGATGGCACGCAGCCGCTGGATCTCCTCGTTGGCCAGCTGCAAATCCTGCTGCAGGCGCTCGTACTTGTCGTGCTGGTGGCGCACAACACCGATGTGATTCCGGATGTACTCCATCGGATTCTCCGGCCGCTCCTTGATCACACGTATGAAGATCTTGGTCAGCGAGTCCAGGACGCTGCCGCGCTCCAGGTAGCGCCGGATCTCGTCGCGCTTCGGATCAATGGGCTGCGTCATCGCGGGAGATTCGTGGTTAGCAAGCGGGGCAATCGGGTTTTGGGCAAAAGCTCACCTTAAAGGACATCTTTGCAAAATGGAGATGTGCGGTGTGACCGTGGCCGCAACTTCGAAAAATACTAAAGTCAAGCCCCCTTTGCACACTACCTGTACCAGGGCTGCATGCTGGCGTCAAACGGAACTGGTTCGTTTCAGGTACACTTTAATTTACACATTTAAAATACAATTTTAAAAAGTTTTTAACATATTTTGGTTTGACTTTAGGTTGTTGGAAAATTAACAGTTTCTAGTGAGCAATACCAAATAAATATATTCTATAGCACTTTGATTACCATTTAAGCTATTTTCTTTGTTCAAATCATAGAAGTAAATTGAAGTTTTCTTTTGCTATATTTCACACCGTTTTTGTATGATAAAATTCTGCTAAATATATTAAAATTCTGCTAAATATATTAAAATCCAAATAAATTTCTTTACAATCTATAAATTTAATTGTCTTCAGTCTTGAAAATGCCATCTAATAAAATATAATTAGTTTCGTTAAACTTTCAAAAACCTCATTTTTCTATGTAAACCATTATTTAGAATCCACTAAGTTACATTTTCAAAGTATTCAAATTTCGAAGATTTCGGAATTTTCGAAATCCACGGCTGAGCACATTATGCGCATGTCCCACAACTGAATCTCTCACATGTACATGCCCAATTTCGTTGCACTGGATACAGGAATTGTGCAAGCGGATTTTCGAGTCAAATTCCCGGAATAATCCAATCCAATGATGCACACATTCGAGAACACCTTCATCCGGGGACCCTCGCCGTCCTACTCCGACGATGCCAACTCGGAGAACGCGCTGTCCGTGACCCTGCCCATCGGAGCAGCCGTTCCGGACTTGGACTTCTGTCGCGACGACTCTAAGACGGATACGGGGGACTACTTCGACGAGAAGTACAACAGCGACAGCTGCTCCCGCCTGCATCCCGGTCACCAGGGACGCAACACGTTCGCCTTCTGGACCATTGTGGTACTGCTTCTGGTGCTGACCGTGGGCAATCTCATCCTGACGCTCACCATTGTGGGTGTGCTTCGCTTGGGCAAAGGTGTCCAGGGCATGGAGGTGATTCCCGAGGTGGATGTGGTCAAGTTCTACGGCTCCACGGACTTGGAGCGGGTGCAGACCAGCTCGTTTGGCCAGATTCACGGCTTCTCGGATGTCCCGGTGACCATCAGCAGTGATGCTGGCGACGGGGAAGGCGGCGTCCACGTGCGCGTCTTCCGGAATGGCAATGGAGCCGCTAACGAGCGCGATAGGATTGTCCTAAACCGGGAGGGCATCCTCGTGCAGGCCACCAATTTGTTCGAGGTCAAGGACCCGGTCGACAAGCAGCCCATTTTCACCACCCACCGTCCGCAGTACAACATTCCGGGCGGAGTAGAGGCCTTGCAGGCCAAGGTGGTCAGTGCCAGCGGCGTCGTGAGTCCCATCGACGAGTCTCTGGTGCTGGAAAGCGACGGACGCATGGCCATTAGGGGATCCGAGGGCGTGTACTTCGATGGAGCCAGCGTTGATGTACAGGCCGAGCACCACGTCCTAATAAACTCCACGCAGGGCGCCACCATTCTGGAGGCGGGCACGGGTATCTTTCTGGACATGGACCGCATTCCCATCGTCAGCTCCGAGCTGGGACTCCGCACGGGCAGTGTTCAGTATAAGATTTGCGCTTGCATGCCGCATGGAACACTCTTCCGGATCGCCATACCAAGGGTGCACAACGGACCCAAGATCACCTGCGCCCACTTCAGCGGCAAGGACGATCCCTGTGAGGTGAACTAAGTGCGCTCAGAAATAAAGAGAATAGTTACGATTATCGTATCCCTAAAACAAAGTTTACGTAGCACTTTTTATTTTCGAGGAAATGTACACGATTTGATAGAGTATAATGTGAAAACCGATTCTAAACTTGCATTGCAATGCGAAGGATGATCCATTTTAAGCGCGGGGCGGGATGATGTGGTGTCGTTTAGCTTTGGAAACTAAAAACTTTCGATTGGCCAGATATAATACAGAGATAGCATTGAATTTGCTGGATGAGAATGTACACAATGAGGTGGGCGAGAGGCAATTCAAATCAAGAATGTTAACGGATATCAAAGGATTAGCGCGCGGGTTAGTCTGCATCCGGATGGGGTACCCTAAACACCCGGAGGCGGTGGCGGTGTTGAAAGCGGCTGCTGAGCGAGCTGGTGGCGGGTCTTCGACGAGCTGGGAATCACGCCTGCCAGATTGTCCGGCACCATGCTAAGAAGCTCAGCTTCACTTAGATGCGCCAAACGGCCTTTGCTCTTCGGCTTCGATGCTGCAAGGAATCGTTGATATTATTGCCAATTGTTAGACGGGGAAGCAGGTGACGTACCAAATGAACTGGTTGTGGTGATGGCGTCCTCGGGATTGTACTCCTCGTCTCCCTCGCCAGCATTGGAAGGCAGATCAGTCTTGTCCTTGATGCTGGCCAGGATCTTTGAAAGATTTGGCGGTATAGATATGGCGGCTAGCACATTAGATGAGGACGCGGATCCCTGCAAGGAACGACAAGGCATATGAATGAAACGAAAATATGAGTCAACTGAGGTCAACACTTACTGTGGGCTCCACTTTAAGCAGGCCGGCAATTTCCATTTGTTGCGCGGCTATTTGTTTGTTGATTTCATTTACCCGCCGTTCAAGATCGCTTGGTTTTCTTGGAGCTGCCGGCAACAGTTCGTCGTCGGACCCACCAGGAGAGTAGGGTTCATCGGCATCGTTCGGCACCGGTGGCAGTGCCACCACCTTCGGCGCCGCTAATGGTAATGGTAATGGTAAGCATTAAAAACAGCCTTTGCCGGATGATTTCGCAGTGAACTTACTTTTCTGCAGCTTAGCAATTGGCGCCTTGATGATGGCATCGATATCGAACTCATCATCCTTGGAGCTGGTGGAGTGAGTGCTTGTCTTGCGTTTCGGACTGCTCTGCGCCGCGTACAAGGTCGTGCTGCGAGATTTCTGCAAAGGGGAAGAGTATTTTATATCAACATTGAATAATATATGTTATTGTTTACCTTTGCCACTTTGCTACTTGTGGCGGGAACCGGGGAAGGCACAGATGGAGTCGATGGCGGAGCCTCTGCAGGTCGCTTGCTGAGACAGCGCACGATGATACCGAGCAGCGTGTTGGGTCTTTGGGCTTCGTCGTAGAAGGGAACTGGCTCCGCGGTCTCCAGCGCTGGTGGCAACTTATCGCCGCTGCCCAAGGGGAATATATAGAAGTCTCGAATCTGATCCGAGTTCACACGCAAGACGCCCAGCCGCTGACGCGAGTCCAGGTATTCGAAGAAGAGATCAAACTTGAACGTTTCACTGGGCGAGGCGGGGAATATGTTCACAATGACCACTTCCTTTGTGGGACTCTTCTTCAGCTTCTTGATATATTCCCAGACATTTACGCGGGTAATGCGACCGATTACCTCCATCTGACTTGGCATCAGGGTACCAAGTTGATGGCAGTTACCCTGCACGGGGTACATTACGATTTCGAAGTCGGCCAAATCGATCATCTTGAGAGTGCCGGACCACAGCGAACTCGTGGTCAAGCCTTGCACGTAGCGGGAGTAGTTATCCATTGGCTCAGGTGCCTTCAAAGAACTTGGAAGCGCTGGAAGTGGCTTGGGAGACGGCTTTGGTTTACCCAGATTCGCCGCCTGTTCGACTGTTTTCTCGGAATCCAGAATTTGATCAACCAAATTGTAAGCACTCGCCTCTGTTTTCTTTTCCGCCATCTTTTTGGGCACCGGCGATTGGTCGTTTTCGTCTCTCTTCTTGGGTAAGGGTGAGGGAACGACCTCATCCCTTTCCCTGCTCTGTTTTTCGCGCGACCGAGGCTCACGTTCTGCACCGCCTGTCTCTCCTTCGTTGTAGTGCCTGCGGTGGCGCTTATCGACGCTTCGACCCCGACTATTAGAACGACTCCGACTCCGCTTTCGGTGATGATGCTTGTGGCTCTTGTGCCGCTTTTCCTTCGATGACCCCGAGTTTTCCCTGGATGTGGAACGTTCCAGTGTGGAGCTATCCGGATCACTTGCCAGTGACGTGGGTTTTGTGCCCGCCGTAGATGGTTCAGTAACGTCCTCTTCCGGCAGCGTAACATCCACCTTGGTGGCGATTACCTCCTCTCCCTTGTGGGTTTTCACCACATAATTTTGGGCACATGCCAACATGTCTAGCTCGGATTTCTTGATCATGTCCAATTGGTGGCGATTTTCCTCCTCCCGCCACTTGGCCAACTCTTGGCTGGCCAGCTGTTCTGGCGTCATCCGCACCAGCTGCTTGGGCTCCACTTGCTTGGCACAAATCTTTTCGAACAGCGTCCGGTTCTTGCGATCCTTTATGTTGAACATAAGCGACCGATACTTGGCCTTGTACTTGGCTCCCACGTCTCGTCCAAACGAGTTGAACATTTCCAGTTCCACGCTCTTCACAAACTGATCCACCTCAAGTGCTGTCAGCCACTGAGTCGGTGCCTGGCCTGAGTTCTCCTCGGCGGCCTGGGCCTCTTTGATTCTCGCTAGTAGTTGGTCCCTGAGGGATCGCCGGATGCCGATCCGAACTGGTTCGGGTTTGCCTGCGCTTCGATTGGGCACTGGCGCCTGTACTGGAGGTATGGGCTTTTCTTTATCCTTTTTGGCCAATGGACGCACGGAAGAGATTCCTAGTGTGTTTGCATGGACTGTGGTGGGTTGCGGATGAGACAATTTGGCAGCAGCTTCAAGCGGCTTCTTTGCGACTGCTAACGTGGCGGGTTCAACAGCGGAGGTGGTTTCCTGTGGCCGTTTCAGCGGACGCTTCTCTGCGTCGATTGACTGAACGGTTCCTGAGGGCAGCACCTCGAAGGTGGGATTCTCCTGAAGCCATTTGCGAAACTGATGTGCGGAAGGGGCCAAGTGCCCAGTGATTACTCGTCCACTTTTTCGCTCAAATACATTAATCTGTAAACAAGGTGTATACATCAATTGATTAAAAAGTTCATAATAAATACTGCTTTCTTGCATACCCTTTCCACCTTTGACACAGAGTCCGCTTGTCTCAACACGTCCTCAAACAAGTCCCTCTTCTTGTTTTTCTTGGCCTCCAGGGAGTTGTTCAGCGGAGATGGAGCGCTGGCGTTCTGTGTCAATGGGCTATCCGGACCTTTGGTTGCAGCATGTGTATGAATTGCGCTTTGGGCGTACTTCCGTATACACTCTTCGCCACAATAGACGGAAGAAGGGCTCGCCGGTCGCTTGCAGACCACACATAACGACTCCGCAATGCGGTTGCCAGGAGATGGGCCCAATCTGATAAAGTTCAGCTGCTGCTGCTGGTGAGGTATGGTACCAGTTGGGAATTTCTTGGCCGGCTTCACCATTGGGATACGCATGGGGGAACTGGCCACAGTTACACCCACCGGCAGTGTTCTTCTGGGAGTCGAAGGAGTCGTAACCTGAACCAGTTCTGCTGTCGAAGTTAGTACTTTGGTTTCAATCGGCCTTTCCTCATGTTGAGCGGTTGGTCTGGTGACCAACATGTCTGTTATTCGTGGTTGGCTCTGCAACGATAATAATCAATAAAAACATACTTTATGTGTATTATTTAACTTTACCCTCTCTTCCTGCCTTTTAACGCATTTGGGGCACTTCCAGTCGATGCCCTTGTTTTCCATATCTGTGCCCATTGCCTTGGTCACCCCCACGCAAGTGCCGTGGAACCAATCCTCGCACAAATCGCAGCAGATCATAAACCGATTGTTGTGGGGCTGACGACAAATACACCAGAGCCTAAACAAAACAAATAAATGGTTTCTCATCTAATAAATATCCATATGAGAGCTTACTTGTTGGGGTCATCGTCATCCTCCTGAGACTCTGAAGCGTCGGGATCATTGTTCTGACTTGTATCAAGCTTTTTAGATCTTCTGGGTGCCGTTGAACGTCTGGCCATCGATGGCTCCCTAGGGTTGAGTCGTTTTGGCCCACTTCCGGACTGGCTGTCATTGCTTAGACTGCTAATATTGAGCGGCTGATTATTGCTTGTGTCCAGCGAAGATTCGCCAAAGGACAGGTTGGCTGCATCACTGGAGCTGGTAGTAGCCATTCCTGGGGATGCAGGAAACTGTGCTCGTCGCTTGGCCCGCGTGGTGGGTGCTTCAATGGGAGGCAGGTATATGACCCGACCATTGCCGCGCACAACCTTTGCTGAGGTGGGCAGGGAGGTTACTACGCTCCTCGAGGGTGTACTGCAGGCAATGGGCAATGAGGTCATCGATTGTGCGGGCTCTGCAAGAATTGCATTAGACAGTAGGTTGGTCTGTGCGTGCAAAGGAGAAATCGGGTTAGCTAACAAAATCAATAAACAGGAAAAGTCTGCACTTACCTGTACCTGTGGCAATTCAACAGGCTCAATGGGCATAGGCAAAGAGACGATGGCGTCTAGAGTTCCTGGCTCTGTGCTGGCCAGTACTTGCTTAACCACCTCGGCCTCGAACTGTTTGTCTTCCTCGATAAGACCAACCACGTGCTGGAGAAAATCCGCTGTAATCTCATCCTCGTCTGCCGTATTCATTATATCATTCGGATCTGCCACAGCTGGATTTCCTACTCCTTGCATCTCTGTAACCGGAAAACTTGGCGTAGGCAAGGACACCGGTGGGGGATCTAGATCCGCAGCTGTACTCTCCAGCATCTTAACCAGTTTCGGTATATCCTCGTCCGCATTTACTACCGGCTGCTCTACAAGAGTGGACTTTAGTAGCTCATCCTGCACAATCGCGTTGATCAGATCCAGCTGCTTGTCATTTTCAGCTGCCAGCTCAGATGA